TTATGCAATCCAGGAGAGCAGTCTGAGCATGTTGACTCCAATAGGTCATGAACGGATTGCAGGTTATCTGCAAAAATAGGGGGCCGGGTCATAAACATTAAGATTTAAAGCAAATGGGTTTAGTATTGGACAAAAAAAAAAAAAACGTTTTATTCTTAACAGAAGAGGCATCTATCCCACCACAGCAGAAATTGAAAGAGCCCAAGAGGAACGCTTTACGCATTTATACCCAAAGTGCAGCAGCATAATGTGACAATAATGATGTAAATCACTAGACATGCTGAAGCTACGGAGCTAATGCAAATTAGTTTTCTGTATTTGACTTCATCCCACACATCCTTCAGGTCATATAAACACACAGAGGTCAGGTTCATATAATTGTGTTGTTTAGAGTAAAGCAGTAACCACCTGATACCAAGATCCATTAAATCTTAATCTCAGAAGCTAAATTCTGTATCCTAGGACATTTTTCTACATCCTTTCAAGTAAATAAATACATTTAAGTGTTGATGCCAAAATGTGTTTAAGGGAAATTACTGCAAGCATGAAAACACTTACTTTTTACTAAAAGTAGCCTCTCAAAAATGTAAAGTAAAATCTTACAGTCATAAACCAGTACAACACACAAGACAGTCCACAGTTATAGGACAGTTAAATCAAACAGAGCAAGTTTATACTTTAAGCCAAGATACCTCTAATGAATAGTGATTCTCAACTGGTGGGTTGAGACCAAAAAGTGGGTCATGTAGCAGTTTTCAGTAGGTCTTGCATGTGTGCCTAGAATTTTTTTTTTTTGTCAAAAAGACTGTCAAAAATGTTGGTCACAAATTTTCATGGAGGAGTAGGCGGTGGGTCCATAGACCAGACCAGTTGAGAACCACTGATCTTAATGTGTCCAGAGGTATATTAGTTTTATAGTGATGGCTTTTGTGGTTTTTCATATTTGACAGTCTAGCTAATATGTAACTTTATTATATCTGACAATGAAACCAGCTAAAGTGTGTGGACAAGGTATCAACCCCGTTCTTTAAAATGCACTACAAGGCACATTTTAAAGGTGAAAGGTGATTAAGCTCAACTGGGTAGCTTGCAAGGAGGTAAAACTCTTCCTACCTTACTTTGCCCCCTCAGGCTTAAGGTGAGTGTAATCTATCAACAGACTACAGCTTAGATACAGAATAACAACTTTGGCTCTTTAGCTGTGTTGGCCTCACATACATCAGACTATCTAGAGGGTGTTCAATCAACATCCTCAGCACAGCGGAAAAAAATATCTTATAAGATTTATATCATTTACAATAAGTGTTACTAATAATATTGGTTTTGTAACAGAGACAGAATTTCAGAAGGAAACTGAGGTATTAATCAGAGCAATATGAGTTGTTTTTTTTAGCAACATAAAACAACAACTGTTCATCAAGGCCAAATGATCTGTGCACCAACTGCTAGTGTGATCACCGAAACAGCATTTCATATGTCAAAGGACACCTCTCTTAGAAGCGATGCCAAACTGCGTCAACATGGAGCATCAAAATGGGAACTACAAAAAATATCAGATTATATTTACAACTTGTGGGAAGTACTAATGACATTATCATTTAACGATTCATTTTTAAATGGCCCTTTAGTTTTTTCATTTTCAGTTTTTTCCATTTACAGTTTTTACCCCCTGTATTTATTTAGGATCTGATAAGATAACTCTTCATGTATCCTGAGAGAAACTGTTGCAAAACGATGTCTGTAATGGCAGTGGTGAGATCCACACCTCTAGAAAGACCAGAGTCTCCGTCACCATAGACCACCTGGCCACATAATAATAATCAATATAGATGCGTTACTGACTGGGAACTAGTCAAACATATTTATATCCCAGATGAAAAATTCTGAAAAACTGACTTAGGCTGTTCTGTTTCATACACAACAGAACCAGGCAGACATAAATAAAGAGCAAAAGTTAGGAGTAACACACTGCATCATAAGGTTACTTTTTTATAAACCGTACTATTGCCATTTTCTAAACCGTTAGCTACTCCACGAGAATGATTTCATACAAACGTGTGAATACTTATTTTTATATACTGATGGGATATAAATGCTGCTGCCCTACTTACTACACAGCTTCTCTGTTTACATTTCAGAAAGCTCAATCCAAAGCACTAGGTAAAAACATTCAGTACACTGGCTTTGCTGTACGAAGAAGAACCACTTTAAGGTCATAAGAATAAAAAATAAGGGATGAAGGAACAGCTACACAGTTTAATAAGATAACAAGAGCAAAGGGACCTTAAATATCCTATACAACATGTCTGCTCAATATAATTAAAGCTGTACGTCTCTCTTTATGTGTTATAACAATGTATCATTTGTAAAAAGGTACAATATTTAAGTTTGGTGCCAGAAACGTGTGCCTGTCCTCTGTTACGCAGGTTTGCTCTCTATCCCTTTACCATGAGTACAATATTATTGCGAATTTCAGCAAAGGAAGAGAAAGAGAGCAGAGAGCAAAGATAAGCTGTCTTGCATGGGAAGATCTGTTCTTTCATGACACAGAGCCCGAGGAGCTTATCCTACATGTGCACAACAGGAAGCCAAAGAAGGGTTTGCTGCTCTCACAAATTCATTTTTTTTTTTTTTTTAGCACACATCATAATCAAGCAACATCATACAAAGTGTAATTGTAAAAAAAAAAAAACCTTAGTAAGGAAAAACGTGACTAATATTGTGCTGAGTCCAGCAACATTTGTACACATGCATACACCGCTGGCCAGCTGTCATCTCGTATACAATCAAACTTGCAACACCACAAAGGCTGATGGTTGATGGCGAAGCTTAAATGTGTCAAAAAAAAGGGGGTCGAGGGAGATAACTGTGGGCTCATCATTATGGACATTACATGATGTGACTCACCGAATGGTTGACTCCCCACATAAGCACGCTGAGCAGAGGGTCGCTGGCACGGAAGAGCTTCACTTTCTGAGCCACGAAGTGCTTTTTCTTCGTCTTCGTTTTGCTCGCAATAGCTGCGGCAATGCTGCTCGCCGAGGCCATCTTTAAGCAAAAAAAAAAAAAAAACCCCGGCTGTTTATTGCAAATCTGTGCGGTAATCTTGACAGCGTCTTCCCCCTTGAAGTGAAGCTGGCACAGCGGCCACCCGCTCACGACTCAGTAACACCAAACACTGCTCATCTAGCCAGCTCGCAAACTCAAAGTGTCCCAATTATCGTCTTCATCTATAACGTCCCCCCCCTCCAAAAAAAAAAACCAAAAACAGCTTATCTGACGCTTTAATAACCACGACAACAACAAGGACTAATGTGTAAAACAAAAAAAAGATTATTGAAGACTTAACACTGCTGATCTCCGTTCGCCTCACAGTCCATCACTTCCCTCTGCCCACATCATAAAGTCACCTCTCTTCCTTCCTTCACGACTCCGGAGCTCTCTCACTGAGCTGGCGCTAGCATAGCCGACTAGCTCGCAAGCTTTTAGCAAACATCAACGTGATAATTCAGTACAATTTGTAAGAGTCTAGAAGAGGGGACTTCCCGTTTACACATGACACACAACCCGCGAAGCAGCTTCAGAGCAAATAATTTAAAAAAAAAACCACCACGTTAACGGCGCCGTATACGTAAAAGGATAAAGCTCCTGACCACCTCAGTCCCTCCGACCTTTGCTAGCGACTCGGCTATGAAACCAGACTAGTTACCATTAGCATGCGGGCTAACTATCATCATCATCAGCTAGCAGCTCAGTCCTCCTACGCGTCTGAGGTCACTCCGTGGAGATGACAGGAATGTCATGTTATGTCCTTGCCCGGTTTTTGATCTAAAAACGCTCAGGATGAGTTGTATATCGACATGAAATCAACGGGTGGTCTCCTCCGTGTGAGGCTCATGTGTTTCTGCCGTGCACTGACAGCTCGACGGAGGGGAGGTGACAGGCTGCGCTTTGCGGTGCCTGCTGCGCTGATTCGCTGCAGCCCCCTCCCTCCATCGCCTCTGTGCTACTTTGCTGTGCTTTTTTTTTTTTTTTGTAGGCTAATCTTTTTTTATTTTGAATTCCATATCATATTGTTTTTTTTTGTTTTTTTTTTCGTATTCAGATATCCTCTTGGACGGATAAAAAAATAGTCTTCACTTTACAATTACAATTTTCAGGTCTGACTGTAGCCCAATACAAGAGTGTGTGCGTGGGCGCGCCTGTTTTTTGTATCTCGTGTAATAATTTAACAGAAAAAAAAAACAAACAAACAAAAAAAAAAAACACACGGTATATCATCCCAGCCATCCCCCATCCTTGGCTTGCTTTAGATGAGATTAATCTGGGGCTCATTTCAGGCAGCAGAGCGATGATGTCCCACACCACCAGAGGTAATGTCTTTAGAGGTCATTTGTGTGTGTGTGTGTGTGTGTGTGTGTGTGTGTGTGTGTGTGTGTGTGTTTTATTTTTTATCTGGTGCATAGCCTACTGTGCTGTTTCCACCGGCACATTGCTGTGTCAGTGCCTCTCAGAGTGCTGATGCTGTATTGGAGCTAATTTATTTCATGGCTCACACATCACAGAAAACAGGCATACATTTATCCCAATAATATTCCTGACCTGCATAGGACAGACATCTGCCTCTTAACATTGTCTACATCACAATTACCCACCATTTGATTTAGTTAGGCTTGATTTTATTTTGCCAATTGGCTTTTATTGACATGTTTGATCTGTTGTCTTTATTAAAACAATAGCTGCATTGAATTGTCAGGTTAAACTCAACATAAACTATTGATGTCCCAAAATCACACAATCATTTCGCAACACTGTTTGTTTTTAAACTCGTTTCCTTTTCCAGATTTAAACCACCAGTGTCTGATTTACTCGTTCATTAAATTCCCTTGCCATATCTTTAGGTAATAACAGACATAGTCGGCCTATGAGAGGTTCAAGAGAGAGAGAGAGAGAGAGAGAGAGGGAGAGAGAGAGAGAGAGAGAGAGGGAGAGGGAGGGAGAGGAAAAACTCAACGTGACACCGGTTGCCTAGCAACGCGGGTTAAACATCCTCTCCCCAAACACTAAACACCAAACTGCGTCCTCTGGCTAGCTGTCATGCTAACTACGAGTCTTGCACTTTTCCTTTAGTTTGGAAAAAAGGTAAGTCGTGGTGAATATTACAGGCATTTTATGTAAGCGTCATTATGTAGCCTATTGAATAGCAGGTTAACGTTTTAGTTAGGCTAGAATTGAGAGGCTATCTGTAGCTTTAATCAATCACGTTTTTAGACACGTATCAAAAAGCAGTGTCTCTTCTAAGCCTCAGAATGGGAAAGAAAGTGAAGAAGGAGAATGAAACTCCAGGCAAGGAGACGGTGAGAGATACGTCTATTCTTCCATGAAGGCCAGCTTCATGATTGACATATTTCGGGTAAACATATTGACAAAATAACCAATACACTTTCTTTCTCCTCACAATAATAGTTTGAACCTGTACTTGTTGAGGGCAGGACCCCAGAAACCGTAGTTCTGCTGCTGAACTCCACAGAGGAGGATATCCTTGTCAAAGCATGTGAAGCAATTCACACGTTTGCAGAAAAAGGTAGGCTACTGCAGGCTCCCTATCGGAAAATCTTAACAAGCTACATGTTAGATTTTTGTTCTACCTTGCCCAGAAAGCAGAAAATGTTATTTCCTGACATCCGCTTTGACATAACATGTTTTCAAAAATCTCATGGGTACTTTTTTTTAATTAAGAGCCATGCACAGCTTATAACAGTATCAACAATTCAGTTTGAATACATCTCTTGCTATAATATATATGTGGGTACCACCCCATTTAGCTCTGAACCTTACCTGCTTCCTGTAATTATATTAAAACACATGCTGTGTTTATCTTCTCTCAGTATAAATATCCCCAGGCAATCAGTTCTGTGTGGCGTCGTGTTTTATTTTCATCTAACTGTCTCCCCCTGTTGGTAGGAGATGAGAACAAAGTCTCTCTGCTGGGACTTGGGGCATTGGAGCCTCTGTGCAAGCTCATCTCTCACAACAACAAACTGATCAGACGCAATGCTTTGATGGTCTTGGGTATAATGGCTACCAATGGTGAGTCATATGAAAATGAATGCAGACTGGCATTTACAGTTGTTTACAGAGTTGCTAATTGGCTGCAGAATTCAGTGTTTTGTTGACTTGCAGAATGATTTATGGTAGCTAGGTTGGATAACTGAATAAATGCTTTAATTTAAAGGTGATGTACAGGATGTTCTGAAAAAAATGGATACCATTCCATCAATTGTTGACAAACTGTCACCTGAAGGTGAGTAATTTAAATTGAAGTAGAAATGAACTTTTAAATAGCTGCAATAAAACAAACAACTCAATTTTCTCTGATTTTCTAGAAGATGTAGTTGTCCATGAGTTTGCAACCCTATGCCTGGCCTCCCTGTCAGTGGACTTCATCTGTAAGGTCCAGATCTCTGATAACAAAGGCCTGCCACCTCTGATCCAGCTCCTATCCAGTCCAGACCCTGATGTCAAGAAGAACTCTCTGGAGATCATCTTCAACCTAGTTCAGGTAACTTTAAGTCTTCAGCATAGAGGAGGTTACAAGGCCAACTTTTTATCATTAAAGACAAGTATAGAACACATTTATGAGTATCTCAAATGTCTGGGGTGTCAGTTGGCCTTCCGTTTGGGTTGCATACCACAAGTACAGAGGCTGTAGTCCCGGTTCAAGTCCAACCCTTTGCCCGTTTCCTGAACGTCATTCCCCATTCTCTCCTCACAATTTTCTACTTGATCCACTGTCCTGTCCTCTAAAATAAAAAGCCCATAAATACACTTGAAAGAAAAAGTATTTCAAAAGTTTTTGAAAGCAGCACTGGATTTTAAATGATACTGTATTTCTCTAGGTAACATTCAAATGGGCCAAAATTCTTGTTGTCATCTTTTAAACTTTGTTGAACTTTAATTAAGAAGGACTACCAAAGCCGCCTGTCAGTACATGAGCTGGGTGGGATCCCTCCACTTCTGGAACTGTTGATGTCGGATTTCCCTGTCATTCAGCATCTGGTTTTAAAGATTCTGCATAATGTCACTACTGATGAAGAATCACGCATGACCTTCAGGGAACAGCAAGGATTTGAGAAGCTCATGGCTATACTCAGTAACATGGTAGGTTTGTAGGGGACATGTCTTAATCCTGCATTTTGAAAAATGGGAATACATTTTTTTCGAGGGTATACTGTAGCTGCCTTTAAAAGGGTCTGTTCTGTGCATTCACTATTTCAGGATTAGCTTGAGATGGTTTCCTTTGAATTTGCACTTGAACTCAGACTCGCCTTTTCTGTCATTCAGAGTCTTCATTCTCTACATCCTTTATGCACAACATATTTTGTATTCTTACAGGAATTCAACGATCTTCATGCTGAGGCCTTGCAGGTAGTTTCTAATTGTTTGAGTGACAGTGAGACTTTACATCTAATCCAAGAGGATGGAGGACTGACGAGGCTGATGGAGTTTATTCTCACCCCCGACACACCTGACATCCAGTCCAATGCTGTTATATGCATCACCAGGGTTGCACAGAACTGTAAGAAAAAACTATTTTATCCTAACATTTAGTGATAAGGGTGTATGAACTAACTATAAATTTGTGTTTTCTGTGCGTTTTCCTTTGTGCACAGCTGAGAATCGCAAACTGCTCCATAAGCAGAACATAGAGAAGGTTCTGGTAGAGCTTCTATCTGTTCCGGATGTCAACGTGACGACACCTACCTGCCAAGCTGTGTCCACAATGAGCAACCACCCCGCTAGCAAAGACAGCTTCAGAGACCTTGGTACTGCATATAAACACAACCACCTTAAACATCAAAATAGCATTCAGACTGAATGGTTAGTGATTTGCATTTCTATGTTTCAGATGGAATCCCCGCAGTTGTACAGTTGCTGAATAATGAGAGTTTGATTCTGAGAGAGGCAGCGACCAGTGCCCTCGTCAGCCTGACAGATAGCAACCAGCTCAATGCATTGTGAGTGAGAGAAAACACAACACAACAACAAGTTCAATTGACTAACTTCCTAAGAAGTTAGAAAATACAGATTTTAGGGTCTTTTGGGTATAAATGCCCTGAGGTATTAATATGTGTATCTTATTGCTGCGTGTACGAAACATTAAGTAATTAGTTTGTGATCGCTGAAAGAAAGTTTATAAAGGAGGTGTTATATTAAATTCCAGCAGCATACAGTGCCTTCCTCTGCTGTTTCACAGATGATTATATTCATCATCTGTCTTTTATGGTTAACTTTTCAGAAAATTCCCATTTAACGCCAACTCCTGAACTATCCTTATTCTAGATATATTTGATCTGTGTTTCCCTTATTTGTGCACATACCACATGGTCACAAACACATTAGACAATAGTTGTGTTGTATTATATGTTCTGGGCCTGTATAAATAGTACTCTCTTTATGTTTGTGTTTAATTTCACATCTATTTCTGTGTTCTCCTCCAGTGCAGTGTACGAGGCAGGAGGCCATGAGGTTCTTGTCCAGCAGCTCTGTGGAAGCTGTCCCAGGACGGTGGCCAATTCTGCAGCCACGCTTGGCAACATGGCCGGACAGGAGGTCATCCGCTGCAGCATCTTGTCACATGGTGCCATACAGGCCCTGGTGGAGCCGTTGAAGTCCACAAACACACAGGTCCTGGTCAGCACTGCGCATTGCCTGGCAGAGTTGACCTGTGATACAGAATCTAGGGCACAGGTTAGTGTCTTATAACTTTTCTAAATGTTGCCTTGTTCTATTAAATGTATACAATGTTAACTGTAAACAATAGTTTTTTTAATAGTGTAATAACATTCAATAAGATATGCCTGACTACTTAAAATGAACTCCCTGTCTTGAATAGCTACAAAGTGCTGGAGGCCTTCAACCACTCATCAATTTGCTGCACTCCTATCACAAGGAGGTGCTGCATAATGCATGCATGGTTATTAACGTCTGTGCCAGTGATAAGTCTACAGCAGTGGAGATGTGCAAACTTGGGTAAGACACTTGAATGACGGACAACAGTGACACCAGGACGTGATTTATGAATCCTGAAAAGCAGAACTGGACTGGCATTGTCCTGTAGTGTAGAATTAAAGCTGTACTCTGTGTTTTAGTCGCTAGAACAGTTGGACAGCGATGTCCTCATGAAATGACAATGGAATTGGAGTACACTCAATTATTGTGTTGATGATGAACTTTTATTTTGTGAAAGAAAAACGAGGTATTTGACAGAGTGGAGCAATATTTGAGTTGCTTAAAGAGCCATACTGTGTTTATTTTACTCTTGTGGTGATATTTGAGTTATGCTAATTATTATCTAATTATTGAGATTGAGCGTGACTTTGTTGTTTTGTCTTTGTTGACATTGTTGATTTGTGAAGTCTGTATTGATTATATTAAGAAATGAAAATTAGTATTTTCAGTATTCTCTCAAATAGCCAGTAGATGGCAGCAATGGTCAGCCTCTTGAGAACTATAAGGTTAATTTCGGGCATTAAATGTTAATACTGTTTTTACATGTTTCTATTTATCATTAATATGTGTGTATATTGTGTATTCCTGCTCTGTTCATTTGTTTCTTAGAGCCCTGGAGATGCTTCAGGACATCAACCAATCAGTGAATCGTAGGAGCAGTTTTAGTGAATTGGCTATGAACAGCCTTCTTAACTCCAACTTGTCTGTTAAATACAGCCTTACAGGTCATCTGGCATTCACTGACAATATCAGTAATGACTTCTACGATGCTGGGAAGGTTAGTATTATTCAAGTTTGTGTGAAATAAGTCATCTAATGGAATGTAAGATGAAAGCTGTGTTGTCATATCTACATTCATGCACATAGTTTGCTACATTGTTGTTTTATTTTCATGCTTTTAATAGGACTTTATTGTTGTGTAATTTAATGTTGGGGTTTTTATATTCTGTAAAGCTCTTTGTTAAGTCATCTCACCAAGATACATGATGTAACAGAGGAAATTTTTGAACTCTGATAGAGTTTTCTCTTTGTCTCTCTCAGGCTTGTGCAGGTCAGAGGATACTGACTTTAGAAGAGTTGTCCAAGCAGCCTGTCAACCAGTACCGCCCAGTCATTGTTGTCAACACAACAAAAGCAGAGTGTGTTTTGAGTTTTTATTCTTTTTTTTTCAAAATTAGAAAAAGTCCATAAAACCTCGGAAGGAAAACATTGTTTTCTTTTTCAATCAACTCCTCACCCAAATCGGTGTCTTTTGCCTTTCCCTCCACAAGTGGAGTGAGAAACTTAGAAGAATACTTCCGCAAATAGTGTTGGAGCATTGGCTGAGGCTTGGCAGACTTCCTACGCTACCAGCCATAGTTTATTGTGCCTGTCCCCCTCCCCTTGTCTACTCCAATCAAGTTCTCCTCTCCTGCTATCCCTAGTTGCCTTCAGTGTGCCTGGATACCGTGGCCTCACAGGGTAAACGTTCCCCTTATTTAAGATGGCAACACTCAGAGTAATAGAGCCTTCAACTGTTGGCATCACACACACAGTCAGCGCCCATGCACAAACACCACTAACCATCATCCTGCTCATAATATGCATACACGTTGACTGAGATACAAAGAAAACATAGTATGTGTTAAACGTTATACATATACTCAACCTTAATAATCCACTAACTTTCAGTATTTTGATGAATTAACATTCCCAAAGTTAGCAGAGCCCTCAGGGTGCCTCAGGCCCAGCCCGTTTCCAACATGCACCCTTCAGCCTGCAAACACACAACACCTCAGGCATTTTAAAGTAGTGCATTATGTAATCTATCCATTTTCTCATCAATGGCTTCTTGTGACCTTTAACTTTTGTATTACGTATAATCCTTTTTGCACCATTTATTAAGGTGTTCTTCAATACTATAAAGATTTTACCAGGAAAGTTCAGCTTTTGCTCATGTTTGTCTGCAGGTTATCTTAAGTAGACAAGTAATCAGACATGACAGCAAAGCAGCTCCAGCAGTTTTGCAATCATAGTTAAAATCTTGTAAAAAGGGAGGCTTTTTTTGCTTGCTGAAACCTTAACGTTTTTCTCTGAAAAAAATATAGACAGCTGATCTGTACTAGTAATGTGTGCAGGAATTAGAGATTTCATATTACTTTTTAATAGAATGTATGCATGCTCACTTGTGTATTTAGCATGTGCAGTGAACAGTGGAAAAGGTAAACACAGCATGTTTTAGATCACTTTATTCTTTTCCCACTGTGGCAGAGAGACAGCGAATGTGCCAGAGGAGAGTCAGAGTAACCCATCAGAAACAGACACCACCAAGGCAGACAGAAGGACACCCATGTGAGTAAATGTGCAGGAGACAGGGATGTAACTTGAATTTCAAGTACAGTTTGTTAAAATCATTTGATGCTTATCTCTTTTTTTAAGAAACTAGTATAGTTTGTTTACTGCCTCTTGAAATAGGAGAAAGAAGAAGAAAGAGGATGACAGACAGAAAGAAGAGGCCGAGGCAGAATCTCCGGCAGAAAAACCATTGAAGATGATGGATGACATTTCATTACAGCTTCTAGCTAAACAGGCTAAAGAATCCATCCTCCCACTGAATGATGAACGAGAGCAGTATTCTGCTCTGGCCAGGTAATCAATTTGTGCATTTGGCATCTAACCAACGGGCAGACTTATCACAAAAAAAAAAGTGAAGAAAATCCCCTCACGATTGATTGGCAGAATTGTTCTCTTTGCTTTTGATTGACAGGTTGGTCAGTACAGCCATGGGTGGAGCAGTGGAGATGGAAAGGTTGCATGAGTTTGCGTGGGTGCTGCACATCAGCAAGCTGAAATATATGTTCCAGTCGAATGTTGTTCCTATTGGTTTTATCAGAAAGGGAATCTACTGCCATAGGGCACTTCTCTTTAAGGTAACACAGTATCATCAGCTTGTTTTGTTTTGCTTTGTTTGTATTTACCATTCCCTTTCTTTTAGACACAAGATTGAACAGTTTTTCTTTTTAACATCTATTTCAAGCACCTTCTCTCCCCTCTCTATCGCTCCAGTGTCTGGCTGATTGCATTGGACTGAGCTGCACGCTTGTTAGGGGCGAGTACAACCGCGCTTGGAACGAGGTCCTTCTCTTTGATGGAACTCCATCCAGCAATGGTCGCTCACCACAACCGTGTCGCTACATAGTCGACCTCATGCACCAGCCTGGAAACCTGTTAAAGGCTAATAGCCCTGCTGCTGAGCAATACCAGACTATTTAGAACAACACTAGTGTTGTGCAGAAATACTCTAGTACATACTGCTATGAACAGGCATTTTATTGAGCTGCATCATATATCATTTGTATTGTGGTGTATTTCTTGTATGGCAGACCATTAAACAATCAGTTGAACTCTAAGTGAATATCTGTAACATATGTCACAATTATTTGTTCACAGTATCTGTGTCATATGTGATGGGTTGAAATATACTATTTGAAGGAAATGTAGGACGGCGACATGTCTTTCATTATGGATTTAAGCAATCACATTTTAGATGAAGTGATCATTGCACTTAACCATTTTTTCCCCACCAAAAGAGGATTCACAATGTTGTTACTAAAGCCATGCAAAACCACAGTAAAACTCAAGCAGATGGTTTTTACCCTGAACTTCAGCTGAGGTCAGATCATTTGAAACTAATGTAATGTGTTCGACTATCGGATCGTTTATTTTGCATGGGAAAATATTGCATAGGATTAGTCTACTCGGCCCCAGATAATGCCTATAGGCTTAATAACTGTAATTTTAACTATCCATATCATACATTCTTTCTCTTGATGATCACCCCGCTAAGAGACTGTTTTTAATTAATAAACAAAAATAACTCGTCACCAAATAATCTTCACCATTTCCTCCAATAAAGCCCTTTTCTATCCGTAAAGCTGCCACACAGCATGGTGCTCTTTGCACATTGTCTAGCAATAAAGAGCCAGCGAGTCCAGTCGACTTTGAACCGCATATCTGGAGGAGGGATTTTTTGACCGGGTCATCAAGCCTGCATCAGCCGAGGGAGGACCAGCGCGAACCTGCTGCGGCGTGAACAATCCGACGCAGCGAGCAGCACTTGGCTTCCTGTGATGTGTGCACTGTACACTTGACTTCAGACACACTTGACTCTGCAGCAGCAAACATGTCCCGCTTCGCCGCCCGTCGTCTCTTCACAGTTGTTTCGCACAGGGCTACAGCTAGATCCCGGGTGCTACCGAGGAGGACCCCGGTATTCTTCCGCCCTGTGTGCACATCTCAAGGTATTTGGGACCTATTTTATTCTTCGCCTTGAATCTGTAACTTCAAATACAGCTACGTAACCTAATGTTGCAGTTCAAGCTTTACTCCTGCAGGTGCACCATGCTGCATTTGTGTCGTGAGGTTGAATATTGACACTTGTTGGAAAGCACTAAGAAAAAGAAACAATCAGTTACAAGTTAAGTTATTGCTTTTTTTCTGTGGTTAAAAACAGAAAAAGGTGCTCCCGTTTGATTATCAAGGACTACCTTTGAGAGTTATAAAACTATAACTCTCAAAAAAAAGTTTCTGTAGAGACAAATAAGGAAGCATTGTGGCTGTTATGTTTATGAATTATAGTACTGTATACACTTGTTTGTACTATGGAATACAGGCCAAACATTCTATCCGGACTATGGATCTTAAAGTATTTCCTGTATGTTATATTAATATCAAGACTTCTGGCTTCATCATTGTCACCTCTGCTCTGCAGGTCTGCTGTCTCTCACTCGTTACGATGAGACTACAGACTGGCAAAAGAAACTGACCCCAGAACAGTATGTAGTCACCAGAGAGAAGGGCACAGAGGAGGTGAGTATTGTATACCATCTATGCACACACATACATGAGTGTGTTTAAGTGTGTCAGAGCAACATTATCTCAGTCTGACCCACATACAGCCTCATAAAACCAGCAAACATGGACTTTGTTCAGTACTGTATTGTTAACCTGAGTCAGGGTCAACCAGTCCAGATACAGTTACGGTATTGACCTTTCCAAATCATTAGCCTAAGGAAACTAAATGAATACAATGATCAAAATATTATTTTTTACATTTTTTTTTTTTTTTTTAACGTTTAGTATTACTCCTGTGTTTCTACTTCCACTGATGTGTTTTTGTTGTGCCCTTAGCCCTTTAGTGGGATCTACCTGAACCATTCTGAGGTGGGGATGTACCACTGTGTCTGCTGTGATTCTCCTATTTTCAGGTAAAATAGCAGAAAAGGAATAGTTCTCAATGTTTTGTGTGGCATGACAAGTAAAGTCTTTTTAGAAAAATACTATTATTGTCTGTTTTTTTTTTACAACAAATTATGTTAAATGGAAGCTAAAAGCCAAGGTCTGTAGCCAACAAACAGCCCAAGGATAGTCCAATGTGGTAAATTGTTGAAAATACATAAAATATTACACTCTACTATTGAGTTTCGGTAACAGCTGATCTCACAAGCCGCATCAGCTGATGGCCAGCGGATTTGCTTTATGAGAATCAGAATCAGTATCAGAATCGGGGTTTATTGCCAAGTACATTTACATATACAAGGAATTTGACTTGGTGTATTGGTGCTAAACAATTAACAAGGAAATAAAGCAGAACTAGCAACAACTTCAATAATACAGTATAAGAATCTATTACAACAGTGGTTCTCAAACTTTTTAGACTGCGTACCACCTCCGAAAATATTTGGCTCTACAAGTACCACCATTATGGTAGACGTTAAAATACACTGTAGGCTTATTTCAACACACATTTCATGCAAGAGGCAAATTAATTCATGAAAATAATATTATTTGTTATTGACTGCTGGCAGCCACACTGTAGACCTGCAGAACAATAAAAATGACAACTTTATACCAACAACCTGTTTGGAAATATTTTGTCTCCAGTGTTTCCCACACAAACACGATACTTGGGCCCAAGAATATTTCCGACCTGTTCTCATTTAATTTTTCATTTATTCATAAAATTGCTGCTTGCCTGAGAGAGTGAGAGCACGTGAGAGTGCAGGCGCACGCTCTGCAGGCTTTGTGCAAACAGCGCCGCTTTATTGTAAGTCTCTGCGTTCAACATAGCAAAACTGTCTTTTTAAAAAAAAATCCCTCTTGACTCCTACGGAGTGTTAAAATATCAAAATAGAGCAGAATCACATCAGCTTCAGAGCAAGAGAGAGGGAGAGGGAGGGGGAGCGATAAGGTCCACTGTCCGTACATGCATCAAAACTGAAGCTTCTCCTGGCTCCGTTTTAAAAATGTAAATGTACAGCTGCTTGCTGCCGATTGTGTGCTGAACTCCAATAAATAACAGAGTATTTGTTAATGTAGGCCTACATAAACAGATATTCTGTTGATGTAGGCCTACATTAACAGATATTATGTTGATGTAGGCCTACATTAACAGATATTCAGCTGCTTGCTGTTGTTTCAGTACTGAACTATAACGGAATATCGAGTGGAACTTTTCAAAACGCGAGGCGTATTCCTGTTGTTGTTTATGTCTGTGTGCGAGCATAAATTGAGCAGATTAAAGTTGTTTGTTGCAAACACTAGAATAATTTAGAGGGGAAAACATATTTGATATAAATACAACCCAATAGATACAAGCTAGATAAGAGTACGACAAAAAAAAAAAATTGTCGTTTTATGCTGAACGGGTTCGTTTTTTATATTGTGGAGATTTCTTTGCGTACCACCACAAGGAGCCCACGTACCACCGGTGGTACGCGTACCATAGTTTGAGAACCACTGTATTACAATATATAAAACAGAATTTTAAAATGTAAAATATAAAAAATAAAAATAAAGCATCCTGCTTGCTAAATAGTACTTATGCTGCCTTATTTAAACCGCTATAGCCTGCCTACGTTTGCTGACATAAGCATATGGAAGGGCAGGGAGGTCCCAGAACAGAGCCATACCACCAAATATAAATAATTGCAACGAAGTAATTTTCCTTGACAAAGTGGTCCCGACTGAACTGATAGTAATGTAGGACATTTTCCTTCTTCTTGTAGTTCAGAAGCTAAGTATGACTCTGGGACAGGCTGGCCAGCATTCAAAGAGGCTCATGGGACATGGGAGAGGGATGAAAGCCACACCTCCATCATTCGTCGCCCTGACAACAGCCTGGGAACTGCGGGTACAGAGGTCCTTTGTAAAACTGTGAGTTGTGTTCTAAGCTTCGAGGACAAAGTTCATGTTTGCTTCGTGTAGCTTTTCCAGTGAATATAGAAATGTCGACTGCATCGTTATAATATTTGAACTTTGCATTCAGGATTTCCTGCTAAATTTTCTTTAAAAAAAAAAAACAAACAGAGGTAAACTTCATAATTCACCTACAACTTTTGTGCTTTTGTGCTTGTTTGATGCAGTGTGATGCCCACCTGGGTCATGTGTTTGAAGATGGTCCAGACCCCACAGGTCAGCGGTTCTGTATCAACAGCGTAGCCCTCACATTTAAACCCAGAGAAAATGTCAAGCCCGACTTGCCAGAAGAAAAATGAGATTGCATGGACATTTTGAAACCCCTGAACACAAAACACTTGCTCCATGTTTTGATGCAGACCGGTCCCTTTTAGGAGGCCAAATGAAGGTGTTTTATATTTTTTAATAATGCTATATGTTATAACAAAGGTTTTGATAGTATGGGTTTAGAAGGGAATTAACTTGTCGTTAATGGTGGTATGATTGACTGAATTCAGCGCAGTCTCTTGTTCAGAAGGTTTATACATGCACTGGGGTTCAGGTAATAATCTGCAGACATTGCATTTCAGATACATTTATACTAACGCAATCTGTCGACCATCAGCCTTTTCACTAAGCTCAACCACCTAATAAAACACACACTTTCAAACAAAGACAGATTTTTTTAGAATTGTTTTATAATTTTGTTGATAAAAAAAATGTATAAATAGTAAATTACGTTTGTCACCATTTTGTAGTTTGAAACAATGTGGAATAGTGTCTAAACCCATAATGTTAAAGAACACACTACATATTAAAGTGCACAAGGCCTGAACTAAGAATACCTGTTTTCTGTGAGGATTTCAAAACACAGGAAGTTTTTGCTTGTGTTCAGGTTTATCTGTCTGATGTCACATTTATAGATCAAATTGATTTGTCTGGTAATTTGCCAATAAATGTATACTTTGTTTGCTTTCTGAATCTTTTAATGATTTATCTGCTCATAGTGAAGTTCATTAGGATAATCAGGTCAACACTTACTGACATTTTACGGCATACAGCAGAAATGCAGTATGGCCTCATCAGTGCCAGTAAACCAAGTCAATATTTAACCAAACAGGCCATCCCCTGTTTCCCAATGTTCGTCTCCTGCTCCTCTTTAGTGTATGTGCTTTATCTGTGCCTGTTTAAAGTGGAGTGGATCAGATTGGAAAACATAGACTACAGACAGAAACAGAGAACAACAAGAACCAGTAGTTTAGAAAAAAGACCAGTAAGAAACAGGTACCTGCGGAGTCCTGAAGGAGAAATACTGACCCTTGGAGGTTTTATTGCGAGTGATACGATGGTTGGAGTGTGGCGCTGGATGCTGGCGGTGGTGGGGTTGATGTGTGTGTGTTTGTGGGGTTCCACGGAGGCGGTAGGGGGGGCTGTAAGTCGACCACGACCCCAAAGACGACCTCCGAAGAAGCCGAAGGTTGATCCTATTGACCTGACCCCACCTGCACAGAACATAGACATACAGCGGGTAAGACACTGGAGATCATACACATTACACTACGTCTGTTTAGTTGGTTGTGTATTATCTTTGTCATATATCAATGTTTTTTGTTTTTTTTTCATACTACTGCTAATTTTGAGAGTCTTGTTGTTCAAATTTTTTGCTTGGTACCTTAAAATCAAGCCAGAATTTGACAGGTAGACTTTCTGGATTATATAGGGTGTAGTACAAGATGACTATTATAACTTCTATTTAAAATGAATCGTGACAAAACACTGGACGATATTGATGGAAAAGTTTCACAAAAAAAAAAAAAAGAATTGATCTATTAAAAATACTGACAGATTGATTGTGTTTCTCATTTAATTGCTGCCATCATGTTTGTACCATTCAGTACGTTCACCATGCATTGACTAATGCAGCAGTTTTGTCCCTTAACACTCTATAGTTAAATAACAGAGGGTACAGCATCAGATGTAGAAAGAAATGGACGTTAAAATGAAATAAAACTCAAATCATCAGCTTTGAAAAAAATCCCGGATTATTAAAAAGAGGAAAATACCATCAAGGAGTTTCAACATGGATGTGGATGTATTTAGGAACATTAAATACACTGAAAATAAAATGTTATAGTTTGTAAATTGTGAATAAAATCTGGCTTAAAATATTTGATCTTGCCATCCAGCTCTTCTGCCGAGAAGCAGAGAAGTACGAGCTCCACTCAGTTATCATTAGCTCATAACCATTGGGACAAACATCCAGTAGAATCTTCATAGTCTTACACAGAGAAAAACACCAATACATTAAGAGCAGCTCTTTTATAGAATAGAGCAGAATCTGGCAGATAAGAGAGTAAACCAAATTACAACGCCAAGACAAAGACACACACGTCTTTAACATTGGAAAGTAGAATATCCAAAGTAGATTTGAATGGAACCTTTATCATTTGCACAGGAGATACTTGTTTCAGCCAATATATATTTGACCAGAGCCTAAAACACACAAACATGTAAGTGTGCTTGGTAATGGATTAGTGTGGGGGCTGGGTATGTGGACATGCTTGTGTAATTGTGTCAATATGATGTTTTAAGCAACAGGGGCATTTTTGGTGAAATAGAATTTGAACACAACAGAGCAGGATGTTTGAAGCAGATGTTTTTTTTTTTTTTTTTTTAAATCATCAGATAGATTACACTCTTCACTCATATTTTCAATTTGAGTTTATTTGGTTTGGCCAATCGTATGTAGAGAAGGCTAATAGACTCTGTAAAGAAATCAATCAACGGTAAAATCTTTGTGTCATAAAGAGAGAAACTGACCATTTCTGACACCTTTGGAGATTTTATGGATTTCTTCATCCATTTTTCTGCTCATCTGTGTTGCAGATGGCAGGAAGATGGTACCTGCTTAACACTGCGTCCAAATGCTCTTTCCTGATAAATCATGGAACCAATGTGGAGCCTACTGTAATGACCCTCACACCTAACTCTGACCAAACGTTGTCCGTCAGCACCAAAACACGTCAGTAAGTACAACTGAAGTATGCATGGAGATTTAACTGCTTCTCACTATAAAGCAATTCTTCAGTACCTTCATTTATCAGCAGATGGGGCCATTAGGCCACCATTTATTCTTTTCACGCTTTTGCTTCATTCCTCAACCACGTGTGTTTGGTGTTTCCTCAAAGAGAAATTTATTAGTTCATTACAAAAACACTCTCGGGTCATGTTGATCTAACTTTTGCCAAAACAAAGGGTACGTATTGCACAATTAAAAATATGGCTGTCGTTTGTAGGACATTCCAGTAATATCTGTTGTGATTTGAAGGTCACTAATGCTGTTTGGCCCATGCTAATGAAGCAATCTTACTGGTTCCTTCTTAAGCAACACTAAATCTGAGGAAACATCTGGTTAGATTGTGAAACACTGAATATAAAAAGTAAATAACAATCAACATTTTTAAATTCTTTATAGAAAATGTGAACACAAAAAGGCCGACATGTCCTGTCCTTTTCTCCTACAGGGAACAGTGCTAAATATGTACTAGAACTATGATACCTGTTTTTTTTATTGAATGATTATCTGACACAAACTTTCTCTCTCATCAGTAATCACCAGTGTTGGGAGATTTTACAAGTCTACAATATCTCCCCAACCCCTGGCAAGCTGACACTTAAAGGTCAATGCCTCTCTTTCATTATATTTAATGCATTATGTGTGGAATCCCTTTGTGTGACAGTGCTCTTTACTGTGTCCACCAGGATCTCGGCCTGAGCTCAATGTTGACATCGTGATTGTGGAAAGTGACTACGACAACTACGCCATCATGTTCTACCAGAAACGTGGCAAAATTACCATGAAACTCTATGGTGGGTTCCTTTGTTCCTTTGACCCATGTTTGGTGTTTTGGATCTCAAAGCAAGGCCGTGCTGCTCATCATGCTTTGCTGCACTGCGTGTATAGAATATGCAGTTCTGATTGTCTAATGTTTGATTTGTGCTCCGCAATGCAGGAAGGTCTGTGGACGATCTGTCGGAGCCGATGTTGAGCAAGTTTGAGCAGCTTGCTGAAAAACAAAATCTGGGTCTGGCTTACCTCTTCCCCTTCCCCACTTACAGTACGTCCATGCACACCTGAAAGAGAACATGATCCATGTTAGCAGCCTGCATTGTAATAGCAGGATGATGGTAAAAGTAGACTAGAACCGCTTGTGCTTCTTTTCAGAATGAAATAAAAACTGCATCGATGCTCAGTGATTTCTCATCACTCGATCAGTTAAGACAGACTTTCATTGATATAAGGGACGTTTGTGGGAAAACAAGGAACGGGACCCTATTGCAGAACAAAACAAAAGATTTATTTTAAACCAAAAGGCAAAAACAAAGCTTACCTCTTTCAAAGGATGAAACAAAGTCCAAATGACAAAAAAGAGGGAAGGAACACTGAGACTTAAATAGTCTCGGAGTAATCACACACAGGGGAGACTAACGACACAGGTGAAGACATTTAGGGCTATCAAAATGGAGGGAAACCAGACAAAGGGAGGAAGTACAAGACAAGACAAGAAAGACTGGGGATGAGAACTACAAAATAAAACAGGAAACACTAAAGACACACAGAGAACCCAAGAATGTAACAGTAACAATACACACAGGACATAGAGAAACACAAGGATAAGAAATGACAAAGTAAAACAGGAAACACTAAAGACACACAGAGAACTCAAGACAGAACATTCTAAACACAATATCAACACATTATATAACTAAACAACAACAAACCATGACAGTCAGGAAGTATCTGCCTTCTATCTTAGAAATAACCGTGTTATTTTCTTCTTCTTTCCCAGGTCACTGTGGCGAGGTGGACCAGGACCATACAATCAGTAAGTTTAATACAGCAATAAAACAGTAGGAAGCCACAATTATGTAATAGATAAAAAAATAAATAATAATGCTGGCATAGAAAAGGTAACAAAGCTGTCTTTTTGTTTAATCCGTGTGACATGAGGCCATGAGAAAAAAGTGTGACTTAAACAAGAAGAGTTTTCTGGAAACTGTAGTATGTATAAAATAGGCCTGAGTTATTTAACCCTCTGTGCTGCCTGCTGGTTTAATGTATAGTAACAGCTGATGTTTTCACTGGTCATTACACACTGCAGTACATTACCGGCCCATGCTCTGTAATAGAGCTCCCGACTTATTTCATGACCGTCTTTCCTGCAAGTGTAACTGTTAGAAGTTTTAATACTTCCCTGCAATGTTCCTTATTGTTTCCCCTGAACTGACGCAGAATGGCTGAGCCCTGTTTTTTTTAATTTCACATTCATCATTTACCATAAGAGGAAATATGTATTTTAAGATAAATGAATACAGTCAAGATGATTCTGCTAAGAAACTATCTTTCTTTTTAAACATGTGTACATTCATGTACATTTTGGCTTGTTCAATTCCAGGTTTTAAGGGTATGATTTGGGGACAGAATTTGTGGAAATCCCTGCATGACAGACAGCGTAGATTCCGTGGTGATACAGAAACCTGTTACAAGAGAAAGAGAGAAAAAAAAAAGTTAGAGAAAGAGAAAGAGAGGGAGACTCTAAAAGGAAACAAATGACCTGTTGTGACCTTTCCAAATACCTTTCACGTTTGCTCCTTCAGGCTGCGCATGTGTTGGATTCAACTTGTATAACAGTCGTTATTTAAATGCGGTCAACAACATGTTATCCAATCTCGAAATGAAAACAGCAGTACATGCAATTAAACCCCTGACTCTTTGATTTACAGATTGTGTCCCAACATGCTGAGGAGGCAGAGCTGTGCAGCAGACGGATCCTGCAGGCTGGGCAGTTTCAAATGTCTAATCTGAATATGGAATCATTTTTCAAATCTATGAAAAATGTTGCATGACTGCATCAAACCTTTTATCTCAAAAGGGGTTACATTTCTCAGTTTTAGTTTTCCGATAGAAGCTTTTTACTAAAATAAATATCTAAAACTGTCATCACAGTTTTTTTCTTGTTTACAACAAAATGCATTTTCTATTGTTGATGGGATTTTTAAATATAAAACAATCTAAAGGAAGTAAAATATTGTCCACACTTTAAACAGTAGAGGTTTTTGTATTTACATTAAATTTGAATTACATTTCTTCTCAGTTGAAACATTTTACTCTCTTAATAAGAACTTTTTAATTTTGTGAGCCATCACATGCAGTAATGTCAATCGAACTGTCAAAAATCTGCTGCACACACATTACATAAATTGCACCGATATGGAGTTTGCAAATGTCTGCTCTAAACTGATGAACTCATTGACTTGCCGTGCAGAGATTCACACCAAAGTTACTTTATGTTATTATGTTTCTCTAGTATTAAACTGCATACTGTAATAAGGGGAAGGAACACACATATTTGTTCCATGCAGTGTTGTGTAACGGTTCATTTTTCCCCTGTGCATTTTCGCTTAACAGTGTGAAATTTGAAAAACCATGAAGGTCAGGTTTTCACTGGTACACAGCAGCATTCAGTTCAACTTAAACTGGAAACCAACAGGGTGATTCAGTGAGCACTCATTGTATGTTTGAACATGAAGAACAAAAACTGTCACAGTTCAGTGTCATCCTGAAGTCATAAGAATTTGTAATGTTGCTGCCAGTCACTTATTTTTTGTTAAAACTGTCAAATCAGCGTATCTGTGTGCATCTGGGGTGTGGGTCAGAACAAATGGTTAATGCAGATCAGATGTGCAGCCCTAAAAGGGTTGAGAGGGTTCTGTTACAAAACCAGGTTACCAAATATGCATCTCAAAGCTGCTCCTAGCTCCACCCAGCACCTCTGTCCTGTGTGTGTGTGTGTGTGTGTGTGTGTGTGTGTGTGTGTGTGTGTGTGTGTGTGTGTTACATAACCAGCTGATTGCAAGTCAGCGCCTGTGTTGTCTCTGAACAAAGGGAGCTCTGATGAGTCCACCAATGTCTTCTTGCAAATTAAGAAATTCCAACCAGGACATTATCAGCCTCAATGTAAACGTACACATTGTTCTACAAAGTGATTTAAGGGGCCAGTAAGGCGAAGACTTAAAGAACATTTATTTCCCTTAAAGTGATACAACTGCCTTTTTTCTCACAACATTGTAACAAAACTGTAAAATAATGAAAATAGTTGTATGGATCTATTTTAAAGCCTAACAAACGACAAAGTCCAACAAACAATTGAATCATCAACACTGGCAGTTGTTACATGAGCTCTAAACATTTTCACTGCTGGCAATGCTGCAAGTAAATCAATTTATCTCTACAATTGACCAAGAAAGTTCTTTTTGTCTCATTTAAAGTTTTGATGTCCATGGAGTTGAATGAAGCACATTGACATGGATGCAAAGTAGTTTATTAAAAGTGCTTCACATGTCTTATTTCTACAGGAGCACTTTTGCACTTAATTGAGCTTATTTTTGGTTTATAGTGAAGAACTATGCACTCTTACCAAACAGCTGTTTTGAAAGTCACAGCATGCTTCGATGGAGAAGGCAGAGGGGGGAGGGGTGCAAAAAGAGCCCTGTTATGTACCCCTTTATCCCCCCTCCACCTCCTTCTCTTCCCCCATCCACACGTGCCAGTTGTGTAACAGCAGTGAGGAGTTTTTGTAATGCAGAAAACAAAGCAGTAGGAGGGAGGGAGGAAGGAGGAGACAGAAAGAGGAGGAGGGAAAAGGGGGCACGACACTGCAGGATAAAAGGAGCCTCCAGTCTCTTTACCTCACTGCCCTTCTTCCTGCAACTCCACTCTCCGCTGAAGGAACTCAGAACCCAAAAGGAGGAACCATGAGGAACACCATACTGAGGATGCTGGTCGCTCTGACGTGCGCTCTGTCTGCCTTTGCTGATGTCATGCCCATTGCAGACTTTGACCTGCAGAAGGTAAGAAATAAACTTATTGTAGAAATATTGGAAATCCCGAAGTCAACAGGGAAAAAAAGTAATGACGAGTGATTAGAACCTTTAGTTTTCTGACATTTACATTGCATCATTTGCTTTTCTTAGTAATATGAAAATAGCAAACAAACCTTCATTCAAATACATTTAAAATAACTAACCCGCGCCCTCCTTTGTCTTTCAGATGGCAGGCAAGTGGTACCTTGTTGGTTTTGCCACCAATGCTCCGTGGTTTGTGAACCACAAGGCAGGCATGAAGATGGGCACTGCTGTAGTAACACCAACCGAAGGAGGAGACATGGACCTCTCATACGCAAACCTGAAGTGAGTGACGCCTTCAAATCAGCATTTTAATGAGTGTTTGGTAGAAAATAAAGAAGCAGAGCCTGATGTTCTAATGCCTTATTCTCTCATAGTGCTGATGGAACCTGCTGGAGAATGACTCACCTGGCAAAAAAGACAGAAACTCCTGGACGCTACACCTTCCACAGCCAGCGTGAGTATAGCCCCACAAATGCTTTAGACACGATAGGGCACACGCAAGAAGATTCAGCAGCCTGACCTGTCCATTTCTGATCTCCTCAGTTTGGAACAATGACAATGACATGCGCATTGTTGATGTTGTGTACGACGACTACGCTCTGGTCCACACAATCAAGACAAAGGAAGGAGTGTCTGAGGTTCTCAACAAGCTTTACAGTAAGTCCAAAACAGTCACTACAACTTACAGAGTCACAGAATGCAGATTTTGAAGTTAAAGAAACTCATCTTGTGTTTTCAGGCCGTTCCTCTGAGGTCAGTGATGTCCTGCAGCAGAAGTTTGCACAGTTATCTCTTAGTACTGGCATCCTTGCGGACAACGTGGCCATCCTGCCTAAAAATGGTGAGTCATCAAAGCTGAATTAGAATACGAATGCGTTTATAGGTATAGGTGTTTTCTAAATGGCCTCTTGTGTTGTTACAGCTGAATGTCCTGAGGTCTGAAGGGTCCCCTGCTGCTCCCAATCATCCAATCTGCATCATCTGCCTAGGCTTTCATCTCAGAAGAGTCTGATTGCTTCCAATCTGGTGTCTCTGACATCACAAAGATACCACTGAGACAATAAAGCATTCACTTCAATCTCCTCCTGCATACCAAAGATCAGTTGTGGTCCTAATAAGACCTCAATCTCTCCATTTCGCATTTTAACTGCTTCAGAGTGGAACAAAAAAAGGTCTGATTGTGAAATAAAGGGAAAGAAAACTTGAGACTGTGAAAGCTGCCAATTTCTTAATGCGTGTATTTTTTTAAACTGCTGATTCTTTTGTAGTGTTTTATTTTTGATGAAACATGCTCAAAGCCAATAAAAATACTGAAAAATGTTTTAATGTTCAGAATGATTCTTTTGGTACAAAACGGGTAACTAAAATTCAAGAGCACTAAGAACTTCATTATGTCGGATACTAAAAAACACCCCACACAATACTGCCCCCTGGTGCTTGATTTAATTTGCATGAAAGTGGTTCTCCAGAAATGACCAATTCCTCACTAATATTACAATAATTTATTTAACATGTACAACAACTGCTATTTAAGCCATAAATATTGAATTAATTGAATTTAACAAAAACTGTCTGGTGAGAGGACTTGGAAGTCTAGCCTCTATTGAATCAGAGAGGAAATAGCATGTGGAAGTCAAACATTTGTGACAGTCTGTCCATGGTGATGAATCTGTGATGATTAATTCAACAATTTATACATTTCTGAAAAACGTTTATCCAAAATGAAGTTTAAATAAATATAAAACAAGGATAATTATAATAAATATATGATAAAAAATGCAAAGTATTAGTAAATTCAGAAAAAATATATTCAAATGAATGTTTCACTCAGACAGCAAACTGTTCTGGAACCATTTCTCCCTCTTCAGACCTGACGGAGTTCATCCAAACAGACTGGGTAGCCGCATGCTTGCGGCTAACATTCAGCACGCTGTGCAGACTGTCCCACGTGAATGACTGTTTACCTATTTGACCCAAACTCCACCCCCTATTACTTCTCTACCTGCATTGGCTCCCCAGACTACTGCTCCTCCCAGCGGCTCCCCCTGTCGGCATCAACTGTTAGATTCATCATCATCAGGAATTTGTCCCATTCAAACCATTTTTAAGCCTAGGTACTTTCTTCCACACAATGTACGACGTGCAGACCACAGTGTTCTCATTTCAGTACCCAAATCCCTCATAACCTCATCTCCGCCTTCACTTTCTTTAATATTTGGCTTGCTGAATGTTAGATCCTTGTCAAACAAATCATTTGTCTGTCAAGATTTCATTTTGTCACATTAACTTCACTGTTTTCTAATCACTGAGTCATGGCTTACCCCAGGTGACATTTCTCCTCTCATTGAAGCCACTCCTTCTGGCTACTCCCATTTTCATCAGCCCAGGCTACATGCACGAGGTGATGGGGTTGCTGTAATTCATAATAACGCCCTGAAGTGCAATAGTCTTCCTATCAGCCCTTTTTCTTCTTTTGAATCCCTGTCATTTGTAAAAAATGGCTCCCCACCTGTCCTCTCTTTACTGGTATACAGACCTCCAAAACCCAACACGGATTTCATCACAGAATTCTCTGATCTACTTTCCCAAATTCAGATTTAAGATTTACCCGCAAGGGGATCAATAAAAGCATCTTAAACCATGCAACACACACATAGGTTGAAATATACACACATGCACAAACAGGATCACATGGACACGCACTAATGGAGAGATGTCAGAGTGACGGAGCTGCCCACAGCGGGCGCTCCTGAGCTGATGGTGGGTGGGGGGTTTGGTGCCTTGCTCAAGGGCAACTCGGCAGTGCTCAGGAAGTGATCTGGCACCTCTCCAGCTATCAGACCAACTTCCATATTTGGTCCTCACCGGGACTTGAATCGGTGACCCTTCCACGACTGGCCCAACCCATGACAAAGGTCACACCTTAGATTTAGTCCTGTTATTAGGTCTTTGCATCCCCAACCCCTTCATAGAGGACTTCCACTTATCAGATCACAAGGCAGTCATTTTTGCTCTGAATTTGCCATATGTCTCTCCTTTCAGTCCTGCTCTTCTCCGTTCTCGGTCCATAAATGCATCCACTGCCACCAAGTTTGCTGAAGCCTTTAAGGGGACTCCTACCATGATGGGCATACAGGCCATCTCCTGTCAGCACTGAAAATATTGTCTCACTGTTTAACAGTGCTTCATTGGCCACCCTTGATTCAATTGCCCCACTCACCTTTAAGAAATGTAAACCTTCGGTCTCACCATGGCTTAATGACAGTACACGGGAAATAAGGAGAGCGTACAGAAAAGCAGAGCGGAAGTGGAAACAAGATAAATTGCAAGTTTCATTTAAAATGTTGAAGGATCTCTTGAATAAATACCAGCAGGCAGTTAAGTATGCCAGAACCCAATACTTCTCAAATATCATTGACACAAACTGCCATAATCCCAGAGTTCTTTTCAGCATTTTGAAATTGGTCACCTCCACCCCCTCCTCCTCCAGCTTCGATGCTTCTGTGTCAAAATGTCAGGAATTTCTTCAATTCTTCCGTGATAAGTTGTCTGGCATCAGACTTAGTACAAGTCCACCTGTAAATAATCTTTTAATTCCCTCCAAGAACACATCGGTTCTAAATTCTTTCACCTTGATTACTTTACCAGAACTTCATCAACTAATCTCTTCTATCAAAACCTCCACCTGCTTTCTAGACATTATTCCTACCAATCTCCTCAAGGAAGTTACAGACACTGTTGGCCCCTGTATTCTCTTAGTCATCAATAGCTCTCTGGAAAGCAGTCATGTTCCCCAGTCATTCAAACATGCTGCTGTCCAGCCACTCTTGAAAAAAACAAATTTAGATCTTACAGTCTTAAATAACTATAGACCAATCTCCAAACTCCCTTTTATCTCAAAAATCCTCGAAAAAACAGTCTTCAATCAATTATTGTCCCATCTAGCTCAAAACTGCATTTTTGATAAATTCCAATCTGGCTTCCGAGCTCGTCACAGCAATGAAACAGCACTTCTCAGAATTACAAATGACTTGCTTTTAGCTGCGGACTCTGGTAAATGCTCTGTTCTCCTATTGTTAGATCTAACTGCAGCTTTCGACACAGTTGACCATTCAGTTCTCATCCAGAGACTAAACAAATGGGTTGGGGTCTCTGGTACTGCCTTAAATTGGTTTTCGTCCTACTTATCCAACAGATCTTTCAGTGTTTCCATTGGTAACTTTTTATCCTCCTCTGCCCCCATTCCCTGTGGTGTTCCCCAAGGTTCCATACTTGGTCCAGTCCTCTTCTCCATTTACTTACTCCCGCTAGGCCAAATGTTTGAAAAATATAACATATCTTACCACTGTCACGCTGATGATACACAGATTTACCTCCCCCTGGAACCAAACAACTACAACAAACTCACAAACCTCACAAATTGTCTTCAAGATGTACAATCTTGGATGGCCACAAAGTTCTCAAAGAAGAGATCATATCACCCCAGTTCTTGCCTCCTTATACTGGCTGCCAGTCAAGCTGAGGATTGGTTTTAAAATACTTCTGACTGTGTTTAAGACATTAAATGGACTTGCCCCCGCCTACCTCTCAGAACTCCTATCCCCATATAAACCGATGAGAGATCTTAGGTCATCAGAACAAAACCCTCTGTCACTGCTTGGATCCAGGACAAGGCGCAATGGGGATTGGGCTTTTTCTATTGCAGGACCAAAACTATGGAACTCTTTGCTCCCAGACTTCCGTCTCTCTCCCACTATTAGTGTTTTTAAAACTCGCCTTTTAATGTTCAGTAACCCATCAAGCACAAAAAACCCATAGCTGTCATGATTTGGTTTCTTATTTTCAGAGTTTAAAAGTTTTCTTGTTGTTTTTAGTTCTCATTCTTGTCTGATGGTGTTGTTTCCCTTGTGTGTTTTCTAGGTTAGTGTTTAATGTGTTATTTTTGTCACTTCATATCCTAGTGTTTCTTTATGTTCTAGTGTGTTTTGTTTCATTCTTGAGTTCTGTGTGTCTTCAGTGTTTCATGTATTTTATTTTGTAGTTGTCCTCAGTGTTGTGTCCATTCCTTCCTCTGTGTGTTTCCCTCCATTGTGATTGCCCTCATTGTCTTCACCTGTGTCATTAGTCTCACCTGTGTTTGATTACCCCTGTGTCTATTTAGTCTCTGTGTTTCTTCCCTTCTGTGTCAGTTCATTGCATGTTGTTGGAATGTACTTTTTGCTCGTGCGCCTCTGTGGCTCACTGTTTTTGATCCCAGTGTTTTTTGTTGAACTTTTGGAATTGAGTTTTGTTGCCTTTGGCCTTTTTGTTTGATTAAATATTTTTGGTTTCTGCTCTTAGGTCCACCTCCCTTGTTTTCCAACCGTCTGTAACAATAGCTCTGTTATTCTTGTGTTACACTGTAATTAACTGTCACTTGTTCTTTTTTTTTTTTTAAATTGTTGTTGTCTGTTACTTTTTAATGCTTTCTTCTGCAATGTTCAGCACTTTTGATCAACAATGTTGTGTTTAAAGTGCTATATAAATAAAATTGATTTGATTATAATAAATTGAAGTCTTGTTTTTTTCTGTTCAAAAGAATAACATTCATTTTAACATCACATTCACAGCTCAAGCATATTCATGTATGTGTGTTTATATATATATATATATATATACACAGAGCCTGTGTTCTGAAATAGGGCTCAGAATAACAGGATAACAACACAGTAAAAGGGGCCGTATTCACAAAGCGGCCTATACCGAAAGTTGCTCCTAGTGATAAAGTTCTCAGGAGCACATCATTTTCTAAAAATTGTCCACTTGAAGTTAGGACTAGATCCTTGCAAAGAAAAAAGTTAGTCACAAGGCATCCTAACAAGATGAAGAGTGATTATCCCCCCCCCTCCACCTCATCCTCTTCCCCCATCCAGCAGTGATTTGCATTGCTGTGGGTGAAGACTGGGGAGTTTTTGTAATGCAGAAAACAAAGCAGCAGGAGGGAGGGAGGAAGGAGGAGACGGAAAGAGGAGGAGGGAAAAGGGGGCACGACACTGCAGGATAAAAGGAGCCTCCAGTCTCTTCACCTCACTGCCCTTCTTCCTGCAACTCAACTCTCCGCTGAAGGAACTCAGAACCCAAAAGGAGGAACCATGAGGAACACCATACTGAGGATGCTGGTCGCTCTGACGTGCGCCCTGTCTGCCTTTGCTGATGTCATGCCCGTTGCAGACTTTGACCTGCAGAAGGTAAGAAATAAACTTATTGTAGAAATATTGGAAATCCCGAAGTCAACAGGGAAAAAAAGTAATGACGAGTGATTAGAACATTTAGTTTTCTGACATTTACATTGCATCATTTGCTTTTCTTAGTAATATGAAAATAGCAAACAAACCTTCATTCAAATACATTTAAAATAACTAACCCGCGCCCTCCTTTGTCTTTCAGATAGCAGGCAAGTGGTACCTTGTTGGTTTTGCCACCAATGCTCCGTGGTTTGTGAACCACAAGGCAGGCATGAAGATGGGCACTGCTGTAGTAACACCAACCGAAGGAGGAGACATGGACCTCTCATACGCAAACCTGAAGTGAGTGACGCCTTCAAATCAGCATTTTAGTGTTTGGTAGAAAATAAAGAAGCAGAGCCTGATGTTCTAATGCCTTATTCTCTCATAGTGCTGATGGAACCTGCTGGAGAATGACTCACCTGGCAAAAAAGACAGAAACTCCTGGACGCTACACCTTCCACAGCAAGCGTGAGTATAGCCCCACAAATGCTTTAGACACGATAGGGCACACACAAGAAGATTCAGCAGCCTGACCTGTCCATTTCTGATCTCCTCAGTTTGGAACAATGACAATGACATGCGCATTGTTGATGTTGTGTACGACGACTACGCTCTGGTCCACACAATCAAGACAAAGGAAGGAGTGTCTGAGGTTCTCAACAAGCTTTACAGTAAGTCCAAAACTGTCACTACAACTTACAGAGTCACAGAAGCATTCTGTGTAGATTATTTTGAAGTTAAAGAAACTCATCTTGTGTTTTCAGGCCGTTCCTCTGAGGTCAGTGATGTCCTGCAGCAGAAGTTTGCACAGTTATCTCTTAGTACTGGCATCCTTGCGGACAACGTGGCCATCCTGCCTAAAAATGGTGAGTCATCAAAGCTGAATTAGAATACGAATGCGTTTATAGGTATAGGTGTTTTCTAATTGGCCTCTTGTGTTGTTACAGCTGAATGTCCTGAGGTCTGAAGGGTCCCCTGCTGCTCCCAATCATCCAATCTGCATCATCTGCCTAGGCTTTCATCTCAGAAGAGTCTGATTCCTTCCAATCTGGTGTCTCTGACATCATAAAGATACCACTGAGACAATAAAGCATTCACTTCAATCCCCTCCTGCATACCAAAGATCAGTTGTGGTCCTAATAAGACCTCAATCTCTCCATTTCGCATTTTAACTGCTTCAGAGTGGAACAAAAAAAGGTCTGATTGTGAAATAAAGGGAAAGGAAACTTGAGACTGTGAAAGCTGCCAATTTCTTAATGCATGTATTTTTTTTTTAACTGCTGATTCTTTTGTAGTGTTTTATTTTTGATGAAACATGCTCAAAGCCAATTAAAAATACTGAAAATGCTTTAATGTTCAGAATGATTCTTTTGGTACAAAACGGGTAACTAAAATTCAAGAGCACTAAGAACTTCATTATGTCGGATACTAAAAAACACCCCATACAATACTGCCCCCTGGTGCTTGATTTAATTTGCATGAAAGTGGTTCTCCAGAAATGACCAATTCCTCACTAATATTACAATAATTTATTTAACATGTACAACAACTGCTATTTAAGCCATAAATATTGAATTAATTGAATTTAACAAAAACTGTCTGGTGAGAGGACTTGGAAGTCTAGCCTCTATTGAATCAGAGAGGAAATAGCATGTGGAAGTCAAACATTTGTGACAGTCTGTCCATGGTGATGATTAATTCAACAATTTATAATTGTATACAGTTATAAAAAAAAGTTTATCTAAAATAAAGTTTAAATAAATATAGACCAATGATAATTATAATAAATAACAAAAAAATGCAAAGTATTATTAGATTCAGAAAAAATATATTCAAATGAATGTTTCACTCAGACAGCAAACTAATAAATAATTGAAGTCTTGTTTCTTAGTTTTTCTGTACAAAAGAATAACGTTTATTTTAACATCACATTCACAGCTCAAGAATATTCATATATGTATATATATACACAGAGCCTGCGTTCTGAAATAGGGCTCAGAGTAACAGGATAACAACACAGTAAAAGGGACTGTATTCACAAAGCCTCTTATACTAAAAGTTGCTCCTTGTGATAAAATTCTAAGAAAGTTCAACATTTTCTAAAAATTGTCCACTTAAAGTTAGGACTAGATCCTTGCAAAGAAAAAAGTTATTCACAAGGCATCTTAGCAAGAGAGCTCCTCATGTGTCAAACTGTTAGGAGTAGTGAGGAGGACTTTGAAACAAAAGTTTCTCAAGCTGAAGAGAAAATGAAGAAGTGTTCCCCAAGGGCAGAGTGAGACATGCATGTTGAGATTCTCTACATGTGTTTACCTCCGCAGGAGCATCCAATCACTAATTAAGCCTCTTCACATGCTGATGTAACTATCAGCATATGAAGAAGCCACTGAACAAAGCTACTTTGAACCAACTTGCCCACCGCCTTGGCTTGCCCTGGTCAGCTGACAATTCCAGTATCATGCCGAGAGATGTATGCAACTCGGGGAAGTGCTTTAAAATGGTCACCAGTCAGGCTTGTGATGACAAAGCTTTCTAAGTTTATACTAATAAACGTTAACTGGCCTGTCCCCAAGGTCGTCATGACGAAGTGTTGCATGCTTAAATTTCAGTCAAGATAACCCTGCCCACAGCTCCTGACGTAAGTGATTCTTTCTTGTAGACCAGCAAGGTGTTGGTACTCCTACTCAGTACATCTCAGTACATAGTGAGACGTGCATGTTGAGTTTTTTCTACATGTGTTTACCTCCACAGGTACATCCAATCACTAATTAGGCCTCTGCACATGCAGAAGCTGCTGCACAAGTGGACATTTAGTAGTCTATACTTTTAAAGAACATCTTACAAATGATCACACAGATGATCATTTCATAGGGTTTATTATTACACAATGTCTGACTAGATTCTATGATTCTATTTTTTTGGGTTTAACCAATCACAGCTTCTAAAAAAAAACTTGCTATCCCTATCAACCCCGCCTCCTCACTAAGATAAAAGTGTCTCTCCCTTTCTTGCTCACAGTTGCTCACAGAGTGTTCCTAAATCGCTCTTAAGCTAAAAAATCCTTGCTAGGATTTCTTGCTAGGATTTTTTCCCTGCTAATATTTTTTACGCTAAATTAGGAGCTCTCTGATAGGATTCTTGGAGTGTTTGTGAAAACAGGCCAAGAAGTCAAGTTCAAAGCTGAATTGATACAAATGACTTGACAGGTGAGCATTTGACACTGACAAATGTGTCATCAGGTGAATAAATACACAGGGGAAACAGGTGTGTCAGGACGAAAGGTTAATAGTTGAAAAGACAAACCTAAACGACAAATAGACACACAAATCTTTTTTGGCACATTTGGTTCCTCAAAGCTTAGCAATTCAGTCAATTATTACCAAATGTCTTTTGTGAATTCAAGTTGTCTTTACTTATATGTATCTTTATATACAGTAGACCTATATTTTTCTCTTAAACATTACTTGGTTACCGGTTTTTCTACGATACCCGCTTCATACAATTACTCCCACAAAAATAAAGTCACATAAAATTGCTCTGAATTCTGCTAATTAAGATTTTTTTCCCAAATTGTTGAGTTGAGGAATTGAGGAAGTGGCACCATGTGACCACAAGGGGGCAGTCTATAGCCTGTCTGTAAGACTTTCCCATATTTCTATGCCCACAATTATATCCTATGACAGTAACACACTGAATGGTTAAAGCCCAAAAACACAACAGGAGAGGTCAGTATAGCTAGAAAATGTTGAAAAATAGCTTTAAAGGGCTTTTAAAGGGCCAGAGACAGGGAGTATGCGAGTCAGTAAACTGGATGTAGGGGACATAGGGCAAAGCTGGGGGTCAATGGTATAAGACCCTGATCCCCAATGAATGTCTCTTAGCACCGACGTAAAACATAGACAAACACTGACAATAAAGATCAAACACTCTTTATTGAACTCAATAGAACTGAAAGCAAACATATGGGTTATGGTGTTGACTGTTTATGTTGATAACCCAATGTAACCAAGTCCAAACCCGGTCAGGGGTGTGTGTGAGTGTGTGTGTGTGTTTTATGGATAGTCTTAGTAAAAGTTATTATTGACAAAAGGGAAAGTCACTGGTTTTGCCTTCATGGATTTGATGTGAGGACAGAGAGAGTCTTCTTTGAGGATGCATAGAAGGCAGGCTGGTTTCTCTGACAAATATCACCGATGTATATCACTGATGTACAGTTTGCACTCAACCATGAGGATGTACAAAATCATTCAATCACATGGAAAAGGGGGCAAAATTGCAGCAATTTGACCAGACATACAAAATCAAACAAAGCAATATTTAAATTGGCAGCTAGTTTTAAACTGGAACACATTGTTCAGTAAATGCTATATGGTAAGGTAAGCAAAAGCAACAAAGATAGGAAAATGGTTTGGAAAAATATACATTGTACGTGTTTTAGATGCATGTTGGATGACAGTGGCGCAGTTAGAGTGAAGTTTAATTCAGTGTTGACAAAGCAGCAGCCTCCTACTTCTGAACACGGGGCTCTCGGAATCTAAAGAACAACCTTGACTCACGCTCTGTCATGCTTGTGTGTGTGTGAGTGTGTGTGTGTGTTGGCATCACAGCGGGTAGGTGTAAACTTGTTATGTATTGTGCAGCCTTGCAGCTCCCCTCTACATTACGTCAATGCTTCTGCTGCATAGGAACCCACACAGCTATGCAGTAAAAGAAGTCCAATCTTTGTGAGGATTGGAGACTAATAAGCAGGATTCTGAATCCATGAGGAAACTGAAAAGAGCACCAGTGAAATTAGGAAACATAAAAAAAACACCTTAAAACACGGATTCAATCATTTTTAATTCCATCCTGAGGATTCACAAATAGTAGTCAGTAGTCCAGTTTTTGTTGCATTTTTGTGATAAGTTATCGGGGCAATGTAGCATAGCTCAGCACCTTAAAGGCACAATGCACGAGTAAGCCAATTATGTCAACCGCTCCCAGATCGAATTGTTTTATGTTGAACTGTTTCTTTTGTTTCTGCTGAACCTATAAGCACATCTAGTTATTGCATTAATACAACGTATAGAGTTGCTGCATCTAATTGTGACAGTCCTCATTTTAACCACCTGGCCTGAAAATGTAAGCGCAGTCGCATGCACACTTTGTAAATCTACAGCACCACGTCAGTCTGGGATGTATACTGAAAAAAAGATCTCAACTCAAAGTCAAACATTTGACGTAAAAGTCTGAGCTGATCTAAAAAAAAAAAAAAAAAAGATGTAAGACTCAAGTGTTTGGCAAAGAAACAAACCGACTGGAATAAGTGAAGGCTCCTGGTTTCACTCGGTCCAAATGAAAAGAAAGCTGCCGTGCTGAATTCAACAAACCATGGTGTGTCATGATTTCCCAAGCTCTGAGAAACCCCTCCCTGCTTGTCCTCAGAAAGGAATGTCCCATACAATCGAATGTCATAACATTTAAACATAAAAACTCTATATTTCACATAAATACAATATAATGGACACACATATGATAACATTGCGATATATCGATCTGAATTTAGCCGTGGTGTTCATGTGTTGGATTCTGAATAAATCTTTCAAGAAAAATAACACAAAATATTGTGTAAGTATAGGTTTGGCATTTGTTTTTATCTCTATATTACCACAACACATGTGGTTTGACTGATGGGAGTGTTGGCAGGCTGGTGTGACCACAGCCTGGTGAATTTAAAAAGGGGGGGTTTGGCAGGTTGATTTGATCATTTTTTTTATATTAGATTTTTTCTGTTAAAAAATAAAATCTAAATGCAACAGAGATTGGCAATACATCTGTGCCATCAGACAACCTGGTAAGTATAGTTATTTGTCATATACAGTATTCAAAGGACTCCTGAAAACTCTCAAAAACAAAGGAGGACAAGCCGGTTAGTATGCACACGCACAGTCTGTCACAGCTGTTCTGCACCGCATAACCGTCCCTCCTCTCTCTCTCTCTCTCTCTCTCTCTAATACTCTGGATATATAAAAATACAAATCAAACAAAGAAAAAAGACTTCTGTACACGCCTTTTCCCACATTCCTGCTCTCTTCGGGAGATTATTGTCCTCACTGAACGGCCTGGCCTTCATCTCCGCTGTGACACAAATCCTATTAAAACCAACGGGTGGTTAAACTAATCACTTCCTCTCAGAGTCTCCTCTCATTGGCTGCTAGATGAACCACTCCTTCTTTGATTCATCGATGGTCTCTGGGTTGTCGGTGCCGATGATGGCCGTGTCCGCTGACTCCGCGGCCGACTCGCCACCGCCCTTGGTCTCGTTGGTGTGGTAGGTGCCTTTGTGACGGAACATGTAGCGGATCAGGAACACCAGCGTACATAAGATGGTGAAGATCACCACGGCGATGATTCCTGCAGAGGACACAGACAGCAGGTTCACAAAAACAAGTGTCAGCATATAACTGTTTGAATAGTTTCTTTATAGTTTCTTTTTCTTTATATTTAAGTGACATTTCAGCGTAGCGCTCAAACAATTAACAAGTTATCGACTTGTTGAATAATGTTTAACAAATCAGTAAAGCTAATTATCAACAGGTTCCAGCTGTTAAATTGGAGAATCTAATGTTTTTCTTTACAGTAGCCTATATGATTTAATGGTGGGATGGGATTAAGACCACTGGTTTGACAAAAACAATCACTTTGATTATATTACATTAGGATTCGGACTTTCTAGAAATTGTCAAGCTTTCGCAATGCAATTCAATTTACTGGTTAAGCAAGAAACAATCTGAACATATTTCCTTTGTTTTAAATGTATAAAACTAAATATAACAGTACTTATCAGAAAAAGAATATTATGGAATTAAGCCTCAAATCACCATAATGCCCAATGTCTACTAATTTCTGACATTCAGCCATAGCAGCAAAGGATCCCATACACATTCCATTACAGTTCTAAACTAGACTGACTTCTTTGTCATTTTTTTGGATACAACAACCTTTTAACAGCCACAGTTTTTTCCAAGTTTTTTTTTTTTTTACCTCCAATGATGGCTGAGTCTCTGTTGACTCCATCAGGAATCACTCTCTCCTCATTGAAGGGGAACTCTGGATCTGCAAAAAAAAAGGACAAAAAAAAGATTTTAAACACTAAACTTAAATAATTCCAGACCTTTTAACTGATAAGCTCCATAGACATTTTTTGTTATGGTACACCTTACAGCTACACAAAAATAGAAGGTTTGTTCTTTTATCAGTGAAAAGCCATGAGAAATGATGTAATGTGTAACGTTTGCTTAATAACAGCCACAAAGGCATATTTGTATTTATCATTATTTTTTTAGTATGTTTTTATGCATTACTTGATATGTTTTCATGGTTGTCCTGTCTTGTGTTATGCTTGTTCATGAAAGCTGCACAGAGCTGTTTTCTCTGCTCTTTTGCCCAAGGTGAATTTCCCCCTCTGGACAATAAAGTATATCTAAATTAAAATCTAATGACAGATTAAGTGGTTTAGTGATAAAGAAAAAAGGTGAAAGACGACAAGGTTATCAATGACATCTCCGCTAGCAGATTCTAATATTGTTTTCCTATTAATAACACGCAAACACAATCTTAAAAGGATAGAGCTTTAGACGTATAGGATCAAAGCTTACAGTAGAGAACAACCGGACACACACAGACTCCTACAAACTGCTTCACTGTAGAATGATCCGTCAGCTATTTCTGCTGCGGACTGTTCCGTTCTGATCATGAGTGAGAACGAGTAGAGGAGGAGGGGGGAGAAAAGGGTGCAATTGAGGGAATGGAGGAAGATGTGAGTCATCACAGTTTTTCAACAGATCGGACGTGCTTGGATGTAAAGTCAAGAAATAATTTAGAGTGAAAAAAAGGGAGAAAGAAGAGTAGAGCAACAAAAAATGGAAAAACAGAGAGACAGGTAAATAGACACTGAAAACAAACCAATGAGGAGACAATGATCATTTGGAGGTGAAGGACTGCATGAGGGTTTGTATGAATTATACATGACTTCTATCTATAGAACATATTAAGCAGGATACATGGTAATCATTTAAATGGAAGGATGTTGGAGAGCGGACTGTCAGTTCAGACCTGGAGTCCAGATCTCTGATAGCTTTACGCACCCAAAGGAGCTGTTGGCACCAGGCCGGAGGAATAATGACTGCATCTATGTTCAGAAATACTGAACACTCGGGTAGATGCAACATTAGACCCAAGGGTGCTGAGGCCTGAGTGTGTGTACATGTACAGGTACATGTTCAGGATAGAGGTAGCGTTACAGTGTGTGAGTAGGGATCAATTACATGTTGTCTCTGAGCACATGTGCAGATCTAGATGAGTTATTGTTGCAGGAATCCGTACCTGTGTTGTCCAGATGCCAGGGATCTGTAGCAGCAGACATGGGTGGGATGGTGAGAGGTGACGCCCCACAGTTGGACTCCACCAGTTTGCCCTGGTACGACCCTGGCGAGGCGGCTGCAGGTGGTCTGCCTGGTTGACCGGCTGTGGCTGTGGGTGTGGTTCTCAGTGCAGACTTGAGGGGGGCGATTCCGTTGAACTGCACTCTTGACAGACACCCAACGAAGCCTGGGGTGTTGTAGCGCTCGATGAGGACCGGGTCTATGTGTCCGGTTTCTGTACACGGACACAAAGTGTAGAAGACGCAGGGATTATGGATCGTTTGGGTTTCTATTAATTAATTTGATTTCTTAGTTAGAGGCATTTTAAATGATCTCGCCCATGAGATTAATTCAAATGAGAAAGAGAGCCCACAATCTTTGCTGATGCTGGCATTGAAAATGACACATTGCACATCTAAAACATCCGCAGAAGACACAAAACTAGACACCCAGGAAGTGAGGAGAGTGAATAGAGACTAGGAGGAGGCGGAGGGAGAAAGCGGAGGAGGAACATAAACTGACATTGACCTCTGATGTCAAATTGAAGGATGAATAATTAATTAACAACGCCTGTGCTTGTATCAACATATGTGGCGGCCGCAATCCATTCTTAGAAAAACTATGTTTTATATTCCACTCTCCTCATTGACTTTTCCCTCGGTCCAAACATGACACACGGAAATGTTCCGCCTTTTTGTCATGATGTTCATTTGTGTTCAGCCTCCATTATTTCTGTTCGTAAAGTACACCTAATACCAATATGAGGTGTAGAAAATCAACAAAAGCTGTGTTATAACAAAGGCTGTTCACGCCTACTCTGTCCTCTCTCCCTTCTTTTCCTGGTCTTTAATTGTCTTAGTTGCTACCACTTCACAATAACTCCCTTCCTGTGACAGCCACTATAAATGGGAGAATTACCTGAGGCCCACTTATTGCCTTTTCAATTCAGACAAAATTGCACCTTTTCAAATGCAACAGTTTGTGCCCATTTATTTTCTGCTTCACAGCCTTCAAATGTATTTATTTCCTTTAATTCCATCCTTTTTTTTTTGTAAGAGAATAACCGAAGTCTGAGCTGCTGCCACTGAGCTGAGCCCTGAGGCTGTTTGAAGGTTAGTGAATGTTCCAGTGATGGCATATATTGACTTTAACTGACTTTTATTTGAGGCTGAAAAGTGTTCACTGGAGACCTGTTTGTTCTCTAAGGGCTAGTTTCTGCTTTAAAACGTTGCTTACGCAGGATCAAATAATTGGTCAATGCAATTACTGAAAATGGTGCTCAGCTTTTTCAAGTCTATACGATATTTCTGACATTTTTGAACAATGCAGTCAGCAGAGGATTCTTGCTGGCTTTGCACACAATGGAAAAATGGCACAAATATGATTTAAAGACTCTAAACCCTGCAGAAAACAAGACATGCTCAAGTGCAGCACAGACCTGGGCTGATTTCAAAACTGCCTTCAGCTGTCTTTAACACCTTTGCAGAGCTTTTGCCGTTATGAACTCTGCGTGTGTGTGTGTGTGTGTGTGTGTGTGTGTGTGTGTGTGTGTGTGTGTGTGTGTGTGTGTGTGTGTGTGTGTGTGTGTGTGTCTGTGTGTGCAGGCTGTAGAGCTGGGTTCTTAATTTCTACATGCATGGCTGCTCTACTGCTACAGGACTGCGCCACACCCAGATGGAACTGCTGTTTGGACAATCCTGCAGCAAAGTATGGACAAATGGATGACTAACTACTGTACTGCTCTGTTTGTGTGTGTGCGTGTGCGTGTGTGTGTGTGTGTGTGTTTTAATGAGTCATGTTTGGTTGGATGAAGGGATTCTGAGGATCTGGACATGGCTTATAATGTAATTCTCTCTCTATTTATTCCATTTTGATGGGTCCAAAACAAGTGTGTGTGTGTGTGTGTGAGAATGTGTGCTCTATTGATTGTGCTTCCAGGAATAGACTCAGCGCTATGTGAGTCTTATATATACCTCCCTTATACATTTGTGTTGGAATCATTTGATATAGGCTCTTCAGTTGTTATTTTCAAGCAGTTCTTGTTCAATGCAGTATGATTCGTATGCATGACAGGGTGCTCACATGCAACCAGCTGAGATTACACAGGTTGCAGGATCACGCACAGCCTGCTGTTAATCACTTCACACCTTGAAAGCGGTGTGCATGTACGTGTGAGTGAGCATGAATTTGCATATGCGTGGGGGTGTGCAGAAACAGACACACAAAGAAGCTCCACGGTAGGAACAGTGAGCAGAATACTGATAACAACAGTGGCATGAATGCAGAGTGTGAATATGAACACACTGCTCTCTCTCCTGCATGTGTGCTGATCACTGCAGACGCCTGTGTGTGAATATTAACAGGCTCTCTGTTGGGAATAGAACCGGCTGCTCTGCATACACTAGTGAGGAGTAAACAGCCGACATGCTTCTCCTTGTTGCTGATTTATTGGGGCAGGTGATTTCACAAGGGGAGTTTTCCTTAGAAAGTGGCATGTTTCTAGTTCAAATAATGAAAAACATGACACTGAATCAAAAGCTCGATTGTCACTGATAATAAGAGGCCTCAATGGGTTTAATGGCATATCGTTTAACTGTAATATAAAACAAATCCCGCTGAATCTTCAGAGTTTAGAAGAGAACGATTCAGCTCTGTGAAATCCTATATGTGTAAAGAACGAAGGAAAGTAAACCTGAAGAACACGGAATATAATGCAAGCTTGGGGTTTACATGTAACACCTTTGACCGATGTGTCAATCCACAGTGCTTAACAAAATAATGAGCAATAAATGAACATTAACCAGGAACAACATCTTGCCTGAGCCAGTCACAACATATCCCTGTTCAAGCTTGTAATCCCCTTCTTAGTGTGCCCTAGTGGCTTCTAAAGGGGCTTTTCAGACTAATCAATAAAACATTTGCAAACACACACACTCACACACACACACACACACACACACACACTCTCACCAGCAGCTCCCTGTCACAGTGTCCACACACTCATCATGATTATAAAACAGCAGAGGCTAATCCATCTGGCCGGAGAGTGCAATAATGAAACGTACCATCATATATGATTACAAACATGTCCGACCATTGTGTCATATGATGCAACATATGTGACCCCTAACACATCCAATTCCAGAAAACACACGCAGACACACACACACACACCAACATGAACATGGTCAGCATGTCTCATGACATCACATGAATAATCCAAAATGTAAGGCAGCGCCTAAAGCTGGGAGGAGAGTGCAAGAGGGTAGAAATGTGATGGGGTGCATAATTAGTGGGTGAAAGGAAGAAGAAGGAAGGACAGAGAGAACTGCAGACCTAGCACAGAAGGGAGGGCGTGGCTGCTGGTGAGGGGAAAGGTGATAGACAGGAGTGGATTGAGGAGGAGGAGGAGGAGGAGGAGGAGGAGGAGGAAGATAGACAGAGTGGAGTGTCTGGTGTGTGTGTCTATATATATGTGTGTGTTTGTGTGTCTGGGCAAGTGCCTGGAAAAAAAAAGGCGAGTGCAAAAGAAATGGGGTGACAAGAAGCGTCCTCAAATGGAGGTGCAGGGCAAAGAGGACATCAAACACAGTTGCTATGGCAACAAATGGAAGCTAGTGCAGGGGTTGAGAAGGAGAAAAAGAGAAGAGAGAAGTGTGTGTGTGTGTCTGTGTATGTGGGGATTGGGGGGGGGGGGTTTGATGAAAGTATAATGAATTTCAGACACATCCAAAGCAGACCACTCCCTTTGTAAATGTAATGTTTAGTAATGCAAAAATGCTCGCAAGAGAGAGAGAGGCAGCTATGATTACAAAATGAAGGGAAATGTACAAATGAACTGACTATAATAATATTAATAAACAATAATAGACTCGTAATTAACAAATAAGTAAAAGAGAAAAAAGAAACATTACCTACAGATGTAAAGGGATAAAATAAATGCTCTCATATTTGCTTTAAATATATATATCTATTGTTTAAGAAAGTGAATTCAATTCAATTCAATCATTCCATCTTAAATAATATTGATGCATTAGACTTGTAAACATCCTCCAAACTTTTATTGAAAGATTGATTATAAACCCCAAAACACATTTTCCATTAATTTTCTTCTTCTGTGAATTCAATTCTTAACAATTTGTGGATTGTCTCAAAACAAATCGTAATGACCAAAAGTCAACATGAATGTAATGAAACTGACTTGAAGTGCAGTGAACAGAAACATGTTGTGGGAGCAGATGTGATGAAACAGAGCGCGGCGTTTCAGGTGAACAGTAGAGAGGGAGATGAAGGTGGAGAGAATTGAAGAGATGAGAGCTGAAGTAGATGTATGGCTGTTGGTTTTCTGGACATGGGAACTGCACCTGTGGACACACCCTCCACGCACATGCTAACACACACACACACACATGCAGGTGTATTCGCCAATGCCAACTCCAGCTTCCTCCTCAACCAGGATGTCAGGTTGTACAGATGCCGAGCAAAGAACCGCAAACACATGAGAGAGCCACAGCAACAAACAGCAACAGCCATAGATCGTTAATATCACACTGTTTTTCACAGCACACCAAGGATATATGTAATATACCTGCAAACCAAAACATTTGAATGATTCTTCTTTACATTTCAAAAGCATCACACATATAAATGTAATCCTTGCAGTAATCAGGAAAAGATGACTGCATCAATCACATCTAGCAGCAAAAGCAAATTTAGCTAATTGTATGAATAATAAAGACTGATATTAAATTGCTCAGCACACCTGATGTGCAAGAATACATGAAAATGAAAAATTAAAGAAGTATACACACGCATGCATTAACACAACCGCAGTTACCTCAGTGGAGTTAGCGTCAGAATCTGTGTGCAGTTTGTGAGCAGACCGACTTCCTGTCCTCGTCTCTTTCTTATTCTTCCTCTCTGCTGTTCGGATCTCGAGGTACTACATTGGCAAGAGCCTGTTTCTCTCTCTCTCTCTCTCTCTCTCTCTCTCTCTCTCTCTCTCACACACACTCTCTTGCTCTCTCTCTCTCCTGTCCCTATTGCTCTATCACTGCAGTGCAGTCCCACCCCCACTCAGACACAGCAGCTGGAGAAAACCTGGAACCTGGAGCTCATCCTTAATGGATCTGGACTAACTAGTTGTGATAGCTTAGTAGGCATGATGTCATCTTTACAGACAAACAGACACACACACACACACACACACACACACACGCACACACACGCACACCTGCAGTGATAACACACAGGTAGAGCCAGCTTGATTTAAAGGCACACTGAGATCTTAAGAGATTACAGAAAAAGGCATTCAGATATATGAGCCTGGGGATCGATAAAGAATAATACACCGCTGTGTTATCAGCCTGATCATTAATCAGGGATCATCAGAGCTTTGTTCAGAGTCAGGACATCTGCTCTCTACCCAAAGGTCATGAGGCAGGAGCCAGGCATTGAACAAGTGGCTGCCTGGAGGGAAGGAAAATGATTGAACTTCATCAAGCTTCGGAAAACAGTCAGCAGTAAAGAAAAGTTCACGTCATTCTTACTTAGTTTGTTTGTTAGAATCACAGGACTCAGCTCTGCGATTTGAAACCATTAGTGCTGAATCCTTAGAACCAGAAACCCTCAAACAGCATCATCAGCAGGACAGCAGTCCAATGAAATGATTAATGAATGCACCAAACCCCATCTCCATGTGCAAAGTTGCATCTGCTGTCTTTTGCACCTCACTTTTAATGGAGAATGGGGAAATTCCGTGAAATAAGGAGCAGTTCAATTCAGATGTCATTCCACTTTTTAATGAATTAATGATTCTGGCAAATGACGCAGGTAATGCTCTTTAACAATATCACTTTGCCCCTTTCAGATGTTCAGCCTTAAAATAAACATTATGCAAATACAATATGATCGTTAGGGCTCAAATTGAAAATAATTTCCTTGGTACGCTAGTCCTGTGTCAGAAACCCTTGATGTGATATTCTACACTGACCTAACACTAGACCTCCACCTAAAAAGGTTGTGCAGTCCTATTTTATAAACTCAAGAATGTCTTCAAATCAAATCATTTGTAAGTTATCATGCCTTGACAACAGCAATTACCCACATTTTTTTTTAACTGGGTCTAAAACACGTGAGAAAAGACCTCAGGATACAAACAAAAGCTTTATACACTAAGTTTCTTTCCATATATCTACTGCACCTTGACATGGCAGCAAAACATTACAGCCTGTTTAGACAGCAAGAAGCCTACAGGGAGCAACATGTTCAGTATGAGTTGGCAGAGTTAAAAAGAGAGGAGAGGAAAAGGGATGAAAGAAATCAGAATTTCAGCGTTGAACTGATGCACATGTCCTTTACAAGGCCCCTCAGGGCTCCAATCATCTGTCTCTAAAAGCACTTTCACAGTGTCACCATGTCTTTCACACACACTCTGCCTTTAGCTCTAACTCGATTCCTTTTCGACTGACACACCTACCCACGCACGCACGCACGCACAGATATTTGTGGTTCTAAAGACTGACAGCACGCCTGCTGCACTGGTAAATTATGACTCATCTCCCCACTGTTAATTACAGCAGGATGCAGACACTCTTGAAAAAGAGACAGTTAATCTCGGGCGGCTGTGGCACAGTTGGTAGAGTCGGTCGTCTCTCAACCGGAAGGTCGAGGATTCAATCCCCACCTTCTGCAGCAACTAATGTCCGATGTGTCCTCGTGAAATACACTTAACCCCGAATTTCTCCCGCTGCTTCGTCTGCAGCGTATGAATGCGTATGAGTAGAATTAAGTTGATGGTCTCACTACATAGCAACCTCTGCCATCAGTGTGTGAATGGGTAGGTGTGACATGCGGTGTAAAAGCGCTTTGAGTAGTCAGGAGACTAGAAAAAGCGCTATACAAGCTCAAGTCCATTTAACATTTACCATTTAATCTCAGTGAAGTTTTCCAGGTTAAATAAAGGCTACATTTAAATAAAAAGAAATCCATAAGCATTACATCAATGCTTTGATGTATTCATGATGGATGGAAAGACATGCACACTTGATTGCTATCCCAACGTAGATATGACTTAAATATACTGTTGTTGTGATACTGTAACCTTCACCCACCATCAAGCTTCAGTAACAAAAACTGTAGCATGTGCTGAATCACCCTCGTGTCTCGTGATCAATACCACTTAAGAACAATTACCCAGAGCAGCAAACACAGCAGATCTCTTGACCCCAAACCTGAGGGATCCACTCTGACTGCTCCAACAAACAAGGCTCAATAGTGAACTTTATACAACAGACAGAGTCCAAGGTTAGTCTTTAAATAACTGGCTTTTTATGAAACACAGCCTAAACCCAGAGATTTACAGCTCCAATGACATAAAACGGCAAATGATCAGCAAATGATGAACCTGTTGAAGCTAGAAGTGAGGTGTATGCGCCAGCGTTCGATAAAAAACAAGTGATTAGTTATGACAGTGGTTGCTGCTTATGTTTCCACGTGTTTTGATTGGACCAATTTAGCTCTTACATTATTTTATGATGCAGCCTCTGGTCTTCAATCTGGACATTATCAATCATAGGTGATAAGCTTAGAAATATATAATCACTTATTTTTTTCTTTTAAACTGTAAATGATGAGGATGAAAAAGGTGATTTTATTGTTATACTGTTGTAGTATCCCACCACTGCAACGAAGGATTCCCATACTGATGCAAAGCTTTCTTACTTAAATTACCTTTTTTTTTTTTTTATTGTATTTATTATTTAAAAAATATCAATAACCAAAATTTATTGTAGGATTCCAAAAAATGTTGAAGTCCAGAGAACATTGAACAGACTAGCAGCTGATTTCAAGGTTCGAACCGTCTTCACGATTAGGAAACTTTCATTGGGAGGTCATTATTTGATCAGAACTTTTCATTGAAACAGACCGTGTCATAAGCAGGTAAAAGTTAATTCTTCATTTTCTTTTACCTGCATTGGAGGAGCCATGCACACTGGGTCAAAAGGGTTGCATGTGTCGGAAAAAAATTGAATACATTATTCTTAAGAATACTCATGGAAAATAAGAGACCATATATTTATTACACCAGCTATGTGGGCCTTTGTGTAAAAAAAAAAAAGAAGAAAAAAAAACACAAGGTTGTTAAATGTATTTCACCCTTTCTAATGCATGGGCAAAATGTCAGTAACTAACAAATGAATACTATTGGGATATTGGGGCCCTCGTCTGTAGGATAAGTCTTTACACTGTGAGTAGATGTAGATAGACCAGAACTGTGTACAGTAAGAAATACAGCGTTGTTATAAGGATAAGGATATAAGGATGGAAGGGTTGTAATAACAGATCTTCTCTCTATGGTAAATGATTATATGGATTGATTATCTGTGCATATGTTCTGTGTACCTCTCTATTCTTGAAATGTCCTTGTTTTTTTTCTATCATCTTTATTCTACGCTATTCAACCCACCCTAACAATCAGCAGACTGTGAGGTGATGTAGGAGACGTCGCTGTGTTCAGCGTGTGTTTGTGTGTGTGTGTGCTGCACCAAACACGGAGGCTCTGTCTTCCAGAAATAGAGGATCTGATAGCTACGCTGTCTGACAGCCTCTGTTGTCTCTGTGGTCCCGACACAGAAAATGGAACACATCTGATGAGATGTGCAGAATCGAATGACTGCTTTTGTTCTGTTTGTCTTCTTCCTCTGTCTCTCTCATCATATTACTCCTCTCATCTGTCTGTTTTCCTTCTTTTTATTATCCAATTACCTCCGTCTCTCCCTGCTTTTTCCATATGCATTAAGCTGTTTTTGTTGTTTACTATGACATAAGCCACATATTTCACTATTTGGCCTGTCTTCGGATGTGTAAGGCTGCATATGAGGAGATATCTATGAGTTGGGCTGTTCGGTGATGTGTGTGAACTTTGTCCTTCATGTCCTCCAAGCATCTGCGCTGTGGTAGTGGTGTAAAGATGGATGGCTGGGTTTTGTGTGTGTGTGTGTGTATGTGTGTGTGTGTGTGTGTGTGTGTGCACTGTGTTGTATTCCCAGGGGTTCTGCAGGTGTCTGCAGCAGTCGATAGTTCTGGCTGGTAAGTGAAGTCAGCCATTGCTTCAACCTCACTGACTTTCTCAGCACTCGCGGTAGAGGACAAATGAGATGAGGTGAAAGAGAAGGAGAAGAAGAAGAAGAAGAAGAAGAAATAACAGAATAGAGAAATCTCCAGAAAGATGCAAATAACGAGTGGGAATCTTCAATCAGATCTATGTTAGGAATTCATTAAAATGAAACAAAATCAGGCCATTAACCACTTAAAAGAATGCAAATCCATGAAGGTAATTGTCTGTTGATAACTGGGGTAACTAGAGAAGTTAAAGTCTAAGGTGTTTGAGCAGACAGTGTAGTGCTTTGCAAAGCCTTACAATGGGTAAAAGATGACCTCAAGCTAAAGGTCAAAAATCTAATTTGAATCAACTGTAGCATTGTGGTCCAAGTGTTTGCTATGATAATGTTTCAAAAAATTGAAGCTGGGATCATGTGCTGCTCTAATTTCACCTCTGCAGTCCCCTGGCACCCTCTAGTGGACACAATTAGTCATTACATCCATTCGACGGAGTTCCTAACACAATGAAGAGATAGAAAATTAGATTTTTATTTTGTCTTAGATTTTGCAAAGATGTCAAGTTGAATTGCCAAGCTCCATTTTCCTTTTTAACGACTTAATTATTGGTAAGGTGATTTTCTGTGCATTAAATTATACATGAGAATAAGGTATATCTGTTAGATGTAGACAATGATGTAATGAAAATAGTCTAAAGTACAACACTGCAACATGTGCCAACTTTTGGATGAAGAGAAATGACCAGACTGTTTACCTCATGAGATACTCTGTCCTGTTTATATGAAGAGGGTCGATTGGGGCTCCAGTTTCAGTGGAGCAAAACAAATGAATAAGATTCCAATAACTGAACCTAACCAAACCTTACAAAGTTCCTGATGAGGTAAGTTGAATTATCATGGGTCGGGATAAATCTATGCAATACATAAAAGGCAAGAAAATATGATCATCATAAGAAGTGTGTTAAAAGTCTGCAGAATAAACATTTGCTTGTTCACATTTCATAATTGTAAGCTGAAAGGCACTAGCAGAGCTGAGTTACTCACCAAAGACTTTGCCCAGGAACAGAGTCTTGACCAGGTTGAACTGTGTGTCTGAGGCGTCTGGGAGGGTGTAGCTGACAGGAGGGTAATGATCCAACTGAAACAGAGAGGTAGAGAGAAAGAATGTAAAGATGTAAAACATCGATGGAAAGAAGCCTACAAAGCTGCACCATTTAAACAGATTAAACAAGACGAGAGTAGATAATAATAAATAACTGCCAGCACCATCGAGAGCTCAATGGCTCCCTCTGGTGGTTTTTAAATGGCAGGGAAGCTTGAAATTCATTACTGGAAAACTCACTCTACTTGTCTACTGCAGAAAACACTTTGAAATATCAAAAGCTTGAATACCATTTCAAAACAGAGCAAAAAAATAAAAAATCGGGTGGCTGTGGCTAGAGAAATAGAGGATGGAAATATGAAGGAAAGTGCTTAAAAGCTAAATAAATAATGGTCTGGACTGGAAGCTGAAATACACTCACTGCAAAAGCAGTAAAAGTAAAGAGTTAACACTGATAAGAGGAGGGAGCGTAACAGGGCACTGATGTCTTTATAAGAGCAGAAGATTTAAGAGTGTTTCGAATTTCTGTGGAGTTACATTTGAAGAAATAAAATAACTTTAAAGGGAAATACATTAAAGAGGATATATAGAGAAAACGTGATAGAAAGAAAGACAGATGTATTTAGGCTTTAAGGCTTTTTTTTCCCATTTAAGCCCACATCTAAAAAGAAACAAAAGTCAAAGAGAGGATAAAGGAGGAGGAGGAGAAATGAAATAGGAGGAAGAAAGGAGGAAAGATGCAGAAAAACATACAGAAAAAGAAAAAGAACAATACCAAATCAATACCGAATACCAAATCAACATTCCCCTTAGGACAGAAGCCAGGACTGAAACATTATTCTTATTTAACAGTTAAATACCAATTTGTTTTACTCCTATCATGGCATGCCATATGTTATCATTTTTAAGACACTTGTGCTACTCTGTGGCAGGAGAATGAAACTACACGTTCTCTCAGATACTTTCTACAAAAAGGCTTTTGCATGCAATTGGGTAAGAATCATGATGAGGCCGATTCTGAACAAACCACACCATCTCTTCAAACATTTTGATCCATTTTCCAACATTACAAACAATCACATGGAATCATGTCTGAAGGCCCAGTACCAACTGGCTCCACCCAGTGTTTAGTGGCGGAATTACACCCGTTACAACAAATCAGAGTTTTACCAAAGTTTCAAGCAGAGATCAAATAAGAACAAATAAAACACACATTTTGGCTTCAACATAACATGAAAAAACAGGCCTAAAGTTTTAAAATGTTTTTTTTTATCCTGTCGATAAATAAGAAGGCGGATACACACCAACTAGTTCATCCTGACCAGAATACAATTTACTCTTTAAAGATTAATATTTACGTTATAACATTATTAACAGGAACAATTATTATGACAATAAAATGGGAAGGACTGATAATGTCAATCTAAGCAGTGCAAGTTGAGAGATTCTTAGATTCACATCAACATTTATAGTAATGGATAAGACATGTAAGACTGATATAAACGATGTAGCAGTTTTAGAGACTCTGGGGACTTCTCTATGTTGTTCAGTAGATTTATGAGTCACAACATCACATCAAAGTAATGGCAGAAAACATCCAATTAAAAAGGCTTTGATTGTGTTCTTCTTTTAGTTTAGTCGAGCAGAACACAAACTGAAGGGTGATCTTCCATTATATGACCCTGAAAACAGCACCACAGATTCATGTTCAAACATTATTTAACAATGGGCTATTTCTGAAGTCTCCACTGGGTTCAAAGAATTGAAAACAAAAGAGGGAACGAGCGGCGCGTTTACAAAGAAGACTGTCTGCAGAGAGCTGATGGAGGGAAGGGGCACACGACTTTAAAATCGCCGCAACATAATGAACTTGTTCTTGCTGTTTCACTGAGGTTTCTAATTAGCTCGACGGCTGCGGTCGCTACCTCAGACATGAATCGTTCAATTCCACCAGAAGTGTGTTGCAGAAATAAAACATGTTTCTTCCTTTCTTATCAGTGCTCACAAGAAGCCTGTATCTCTGCAGGCACCCGTCTGCAGGTTTCACACCAAGTCAGGAGAGTATATGATCAAAAAAATTTACTTTGTTAGCATGTGTTAGACTGAAAATATGTTCCACTGATGTGCTGAATCGCTGCTGTAGCCTGTTAGCTGGCAGCTGAACTGGATTGTTGCTTACATGTTGAGATGTAGTTTACGGGTTTGGATCAGTAGAGTCCTCCCATACAGAAAAAGCTCTACCCCCCCAGTTTAGACTATTTCCTCCCTTTTTCTCTCTATGCACACACAAACACAAAAACAAATCCCTAATTTGATTCCCTCCAAAAGGCTGGTCACAGAGGAGCACTGAGTGGCTTTTTTCCCCCCACTGTGTATGGATGGCAGGATAATGGGGCACAATTAAATTTCACTCAGCGTATATACTTTTATCTCTGTAAACAAATTGGCTGCACAGGCGGGGAGAGCAGTGAGAGTCTGAAAATGTGATAAAAAGGTCCACAGAGGGAGAAGGCCGGGGCAGCAACCTCATTTTGTAAAACTTTGTCAATTACAACCAAAATTATTGGGATGCTTTCTTTTTTACGCAACGCTATTAAGACGTAACAGTTTTCTCCCTTAAAACTCTGGAGTGCCTCTTAGTTAACACAAAGCTCACATTAGCAAAGTCATCTGAGGTTTGCCAAGGAGAAAACTAACACTGCAGGTGGAATCTATTTTCCTAAATATGTGCTCAAAGAGAATCTAATTTAGTCAATGTTCTGTTTGTATTCGGAGAAGTCACTGCTCTGTTTCCTTACTGATGTCTGAGGGACGGAAAATAGTTCCATCACACAATGAAACATTAGACAAGCAAATGTAACTCAATGCTAATACAATATCATTGTCTTGCACCAGTTTTAGCCAGCTATTCATACCACTGAAAAATCCCACTGCAACAGCTATCAGAGGAGGGGAGAAAGGAGGGCGGAGGAGAGGAAAGGATAGGAAACAAGAGGAAGAAAGGAGAGTAAAGAAAAGGTAAGGAAATGGAAGGAAGTGGGGAGGGAAAGTAAGGAAGGGAAAGGAGAGGAGGGAAGATGAAGAAAGTGAAAGAAAAAGAGAACAGAAAAAGAAGGGGAGGAAAGGAAATGAAAGGAAAGGAAGGAGAGGGGAGGGGGGCTAAGTAGAGAAGAGAAGGAGGACAGTAGAGGAGAGGAGAGGGGAGGAGAGGGGGGCTAAGTAGAGAAGAGAAGGAGGACAGTAGAGGAGAGGAGAGGGGAGGAGAGGGGGGCTAAGTAGAGAAGAGAAGGAGGACAGTGGAGGAGAGGGGCGGAGAGAAGGAGGACAGTAGAGGAGAGGAGATGAGAGGAGAGGAGAGGGGAGGGGAGGGGAGGGGAGGAGAGGAGAGGAGAGGAGAGGAGAGGAGAGGAGAGGAGAGGAGAGGAGAGGAGAGGAGACGAGACGAGACGAGACGAGACGAGGACACAGAGATGAGATGTCTTGTTGCCTGAAGGGATTCCTGTCTTCATCTCCACCCTGGCGAAGTGTGAGAGGTTGAAGAGAAGGAAGAGTCAGAGATGAGAACTTATTTTGATCGCTTTGTGTTCCTCCTTTGATAGCGATCTAACCTGACGAGACCTCACAGACTGCTTAAAGACCAAACACAGCTCTGTGTGCCGCACTCTGGATATCTGTGTGTGTTCCACAAATATTGTTTGTAAATATGCTAATCCAAGCCTCGGGACTGTGAAGGTGTTAGAAAAGCCAAATCATCAAAGTGATCTTTGTTGTCATATTTTTTTTTTTTTAGCTTTATCTAAAGACGTGATCTTTTTTTTCCAACTCCCCTCTGACTTCATTTCTAATGTTTTTTTTTTTTTTTGCTCCCGACCTTACCTCAGCTCACTTTTGTCTCAGATCACCACAATGAAACACCGTCTGATCTTCCCGCTTGTTCTCTGCCCAGCCATTAAACACAATTTCTCGTCTTATTACCTTTAAGATTTGCAACCCTGAAAGCAGAGAAGAAAACTCTTTGCAGGTTCGGGTAAACACTCTGCTCATTCTTTTTAAGATGGAAATTAGATTTGATCCACCAGAAGGGCCCACCAGCTCAACTGACTTTTATTGAATGTGACTCATCTGTCTGCTTCCCACGCATGTTGTTGTATCTCAGATAAAAGATGTTGAAACAAGGTCCCAGGTTAGCGTGTGCACCTCATAACAATGAGTGGGGTTTTAAATTGCAGAGGGAACGCTCAAACAAAAATGGCACTTAAAGCTTTGAGGCATAATATATTTTAGTTTTGCTTTAAAATTTAGAACAAACTAAGTAGCAAGTGTACATTTTAGCGGACATTTGACGGTACAAAAAATGTAAACATCATGGGGTTTGGGTTTAGTTCTGCAAAAAAATTGGATGACATTACAGCTCCCAACAAATGAAGCCAAAACATTTGGAAACCCCCCCCCCCCCCACTGACTGGCTACAGTTTGAGACAGAAGCTCCGCCTCCTTAATGTCAACAGATTGGACTCGAGTGAAGTTTTTCAAACGTGGTCTCTGTCATTATGTGCAGTTCTTAAAATTTATGTCCAAATGTTTATCTTCATAAGAAGATTTTTGTTTGTAGACAGGCTAGGGGAAACATATTAGCATTAGAAAACCATGGTAAAGTGTATTTTGCATAATATGTGACCTTTAATTCGTTTTTTGATGCCATAAAAAAAAGGATTAAACTCCATGATTGAGAGCTTTCTTTAAAATGCAGCTCCTGATAAAATGTACACTACCACAAGTGACTTTGAACGTTCCATAACTTCAACAATCGTCTCTGCTATGGACAGATCCTGTGTCTCTGTTTTATCTCTAAGTTAAATATGTGTTTATGTTGGCAGAAGGGGCGGGACGTCAATACTGCAGATCCACAAGCCAATCGCAACTGTGAAGAATCTGACTCCAAATGATGTGACTAGTGCGAATTTTCCCGGGCTTGTTGTTGGCTTCACTTTTGTACAACAGGAGGCGTAGACTTCATCTTCATCTTTATATACAGTCTATGGTGTGAACTACCTCTTGAGTGTATTATATGGCTCTTTTTTTTTAACGATAAAAACTCCACTATCTTCTAGATAATTGCTTACTTTCTGTTTTCTGAGGCCTGGGATGAAACGCAAAGTCAGTTTAATACATGTTTAGGCCTTTTTCTTTCTTTTTCGGCTGTGGCTGAGTAGAACACTAAATCCCATTTCAAACTCTGTCAAACAATTCCAGACATTGTCCAGGTGGGCTGAATGTGTGAATGCATACTGCTGAATATTTTCTCCTAGACTTTATGCAAACTTTTCACTCCCAGTCTCCTAGTAAAGGTTTGCACAGGAGTCTGGGTGAGCTGAGGTGTGAACAAAGCAGTTGAAAGATAAATGAACCTCGGGCGTGTGCCGATGGGTTTGTTGTGGAGGGGACTGTATTGCTGTAGAACACAACAATCATTGTCAAGATTTTTTATTTAATATGGATAAGTGTGCTGCAGTAAGTTACCTCATATTTAATTTATGTTGTAGCCTACAGTACTATACAATGCTGTTAGAGAAGTTATAGATTATCTCTTGTGTGAAAGTAAAATTCGAGAATGATTTGAGTGACTGAAAACTCCTGGTGAGTCTACCAAATTTCAGATTCCTGGCTAAATGTTTTTGGCTAATTGTTTCTCCTGAGCAGAATAGCTCTGGTTTCCTGCAGCTCATCACGGTAAAAGTGAGCTCGAGTCATGCCTCCTGGGTGAAAGTAAATAAACCATCACTAAGAAGCCCTCCTGGGATTGAGAAAGCAGATGGCGAGAGGTAAGGCGAGATAATAGGAGAGAAGTGCAGTAGACAGATGAAAAAGGCCGATACATGATGATTTTTGTAGTGAAGCTTGCGTGTGAATGGGTGTTTGTTGGTTTGTATGCCCATGTGTGTTTACATGTGGATATAAACAGCATGTTTTTACTAAGAAAAGAGAGCCCAGAGGCAGTGAGACAACAAGAAAAAGTTTTACTCATCAAAGTTATCTTGGTTAGCACACCTTCAGGATCTTTATCTTTTAATCCGCTTTCTTTAAACTTCATCCTTTTTCTCTCTTCCACAGTTAACCTGCTGATTTTTTGTTCTTCAATCCAAAAGACCACATTATGCCGACCAGTGTTCCTCTTAATTCTCCTTAAGAACTGAACCAATGATTTGAGAAAATAAATGATTCAAAGGATCTATTCAGAGTACACTCTGTGCACTCAGGGAATGTTAAAGAGGGGATGTGCAACTTGAAAGTTAACATTTCAGTCACACACGGAGCTCTGCAATCAAGCGGTGGAAGAAGTGCATGCATGTCTATGTGTGTGTGTGTGTGTGATGAGCAAAGCATTGTACAGTCGCGCCAATCACTTCCCATGCCAGTAAAAAGTGATGTGTTACGTGTAAGTGCTCCCATCGGGGTGATCAGCAGCTGCAGGATGTGATTTGCGCAGAAGAAGAGAACGATTTCCATTGAAAGTTTCAATTTAATTTTCCAGCTGTTGAAGTTTTTGGCTGAACGAAGGTGATGAGATTCCAGTATAGACTGGCGCTAGGGCTGGGAAACTTGGAGTGTCTGACGATTCGATACTAAATTAATTGATTTTTTTCCTACCTCTAATTGGCGGCAATGTAATGAGAGACTAGTAGCTTTCAAACTTGCAGAAAAGTCTGGATATTTCCAGGAGTAGCTGTATGTGTGAACTGAAACAGCCATCTCTTCACATGATAGCATCTCATAGCACCGACTCTGTTGCTTCGTCCGCATAGTTTTTTTTTTCCTCCTGAAATGATCGAGATATTTTCAGGAGTGCATATGTGAAAATGGCTTAGAAGAGGGCTTATGTAGAGTAAGAGATGCAAAGATCAAATGGTTTGAAAGTATTCTTTGAATCAACCTGTTTTGCATGTTCTTGCTCGGTATCATCTTCATTAAAGCAACAGTGAAGGGGCTTTATTTAGTCCTGTCATTATCACAAGGGGATATGACATCTTCACTTCTGTAAGCACAATTAGAAAGAATACAATTATCTGCATTTTTTTATTTTTTTTACTGAGCCTAATATGTCCTTTTATAGCTTCTTATAGCTCGTGTCCTAGGACTCATGAAGGAAAGAAACAATAAATCTGAAATGTTATTCTCATGTTCATCATAATCTTTTCATTCATTTCTTAAAATATATACACTGTAGGGGTATATACTACTTTTCAAATTTGTACCGCCATGCCAGAATTGATTAACACTTTGTTCAGAAAGTTTGGCTTCAAGGAAAATATTTTTCTCAGCAAGATTTTCATTTGTGAAAAAAATAATCCAGGAGGACATCATGAATTAAATTACACAATGAACATTTCACCAAATAAGCATTACAATCCACAGAGAAGTCCTACTGACGAGGGTAAGAAGATAGTTCATACAGAATGATCTACATGATGCTCTCTAGCTCGGCAGTTGTGAGGAAATGTTCAATCAATTTGTCTGGTAATGCTATTACTCCTTAAAGCCACTAGGGGCAAACTGGTTCTCCATGAGAGAATGTGTGAGGCAGCAGCTCTCTGGATACACAGCAGAGGAGAAGCATCTAAGAAAGAAATATGCACAACAAAAAAGATCAAAAACCTTATCAATGTTTTTAATGCATGAAACTTTAAACGGGGAGTCACAGTGTTTCATTTTTGGTTCTCTTTAGGAAGAAGGCAGTCCCTGTGTTTGAAAACTATAAAGCACAAGACACCAATGTATCCAGATGCAATCAAAAATGATAAAGTTTTAAAGGTGGCAGCTACAGCTTGCAGCTTTATTATTCAAGAACAAAAATCTGAAGTTTCAAACAGTGATACACAAATGTTGCAACCCAATGACATGTACAAACACAAACATGCACACGTCTCTTTTTCTCATGTCTCGTACACAAACAATCAAACTATTTGCCCTTCATAGTCGCGCAGCTACCCACAACTGAATGTAACATCAATCACCCAGCATTGTGAGCTCGTGCAGACACACACCGGTCGATGCTTTACCTCTGCTGCTGTGCTTAGGCTGTCTACTGGAGGTGGATTAACAGTGGCAGAAGACAAGCAGTTTCATCACAGCACGAGACAGAACAGGACGCCGCTCTGCACTCAGACTAAATGCAAACCATCGAGCAAACACTGGCCCGGATTGAGTCGATGGTATTTGGTGTGTGCGCATGCAGCTGGACAACAATCCCGAAGACTTAATTTTTTACAAAGGGACTTGGAATTGAAACTTAAATGTATAAGGTTATGAGATTTAACAAAAAGCCTCAAATATGCTTTGGGGAGTGATCAGATGGGTGTGTATTTTTCAGATTCAGATTCTTTATTGTCCTATAAGGGGACATTTGTTTTGCAGCAGGAGCACACAGAAGACAACACACACAAGGACAACATCCCCGTAAACTCAAAATTAAAACAAAAGAGCTCATACCAAAATGTGGATTTTTACTAAGATTTCTGAAGTGCAATGTGGTAGTGTGCAGTTAAAGAGCAAAAAGAGCAACCAAATGTGTTATTACTATTTAATTATTTAATTGCAACAGGGACAAGTAAGACCTAGAATCTTTTAGTTTTCCTTGCCGACCTGAGGGTAAAATGTACAGTATGTGTGTGTGTGTGTGTGTGTGTGTGTGTGTGTGTGTGTGTGTGTGTGTGTGTGTGTGCGTGAGGTCTGTACCTGGATGGTGATGCTTCTGTCGACACGTGACATATTGATGCTATGAGGCTGTCCGTTGGCCAGGTTACGCTGATCCACGTCTATAGAAAACGGCTCCCTCAGACCTCCCAGGTTATACCTCACCTGCAGTGAACCTAGAAACAAACAACCTCAATATTGTGTCCAAGCAGGAGCTCTCATCAATAATTATAATAATAAAAAATCATTATAATGAATTTTCAAGTCATTTTTGTGTGCATGATCAGAAATTATGTTTAATATCTATTTATTTTTGAAGTGATTTTGCAAAAAGATGTGAGGAAAAGTGGAGGAACACTGAATTATTCACAGTCACTCTGACAGTGTAGTATGGATTTTTACAATCACATGGCCGGATTATACAGTGGGGGAAGAACTTGAGGCAGCGCCCCATGGCAGCTTTCAGTGCTTTGTTATGTTGGTAAGTGATTGCTGAAACCTTGTACTGTGCATTGTGTAGTACTTCTATACTTCTATAAACGTGGGATGATTTTTGGGAGCTGAACTGAACTAAAAGGGGAAGGCTTTCTACAAACTCTGCAGCACTGAGCATATTTTAAGCAAACAGTCAGCTGTGATCAACATAGAATGATGTCAGAATCTCACCATTGTGCCTTAAAACCACAGCCAGGTAGTCTTGTGTCCTGGAGCTGACATACATCAGAATAGCTGGAGCAGTGGATGTGCTGAAACTGAAGGCCACTTCCTCCTTTGTGAGATTCACTTCCTGTGGCGTGAGCTGGTGCGTCAGGATCTTTGAGTCTCTGCTGGCTCCTGCAACTGCCTCAGGCATGAAGTTGTACTTGACCAGGGTTCCTGCCTCAAAGAAACCCCCAATGTCTGTGTGGGACAGATGGAATAGGGAAAATATGTCAAAAACATAGACGTGAGTGCTGCAATGGGTCAGAAAATTTAGAAAAATCAGGTGCTCTTCATGAACAGGGAGACAATAGTTAATAAAAAACTTTGACTGTCCTGATGAAAAAAAAAAAGAAGTGTGGAGAGGCAGTCCGACGCACTCTGATCGCTTATAAAAATCCTTTATTTGTCAGGGATTGTCAAAAACATATTTCATGCAACAAATGATGTAGTTTGCATGTGATATTAAGTGTATGTTATGCACAGAAATATGACAAATGCTTCGTCAATGTCCGACTACTGAATTATATATGAATTATCTTCACATAGAAGGCCGTAAGGAAGCGCTCCCTTCAGGGTAGAGAGAAAAAGCAAACACATTAATGCGGCTTTGCTCAGGAGGTGCAGGAAAGTGGATGTTAAATCGTTGTGCTCTAGCATCTGAAACCAAACACAACCAGCTTGTTATCAGACCTAATGGAATATTCCAGCCCTTCCAGGACGCTTATCGATTCTTGTAATCACATATTGTGAAGCAGGGTTTTTTTTCTTCTTCTGTTATGCTTCTCCTTGTTTGTGTTTGAGTGTCAGTTGCAAGAAGAAAAAAAGGTCTTAATGTGCGTTCAATTAAAGAGAGTGATTATGGAGAAAAAAGCCAGCCTGCTGCTGTGTGTGTAAATACCATAATTTCTTGACATGTTTGCTTTCCATCAGTGGTAGCAGTTTCAATCCTTTACGAGTGGAGAGTACTTAGTGAACACATTTATGCATTTTATTTCAAAGCTTCACTTCATTTAGTTTAAGTTACAGCCTTGCAGGAAACAGATTGAGTTTCCCCCTAATTTTTGTATCCGCTCCCAAAACTTTGCTGAAGATTGTGCAAGTCCTGACGAAATTCATCCCAACCTTAAGAAACTTTCAAACTACTAATTTACTCAATACCAGGTTTAACCATTAAATACTTCAGCACAAGTTGTGGTAGAACTTTCAGAAATGAAAGTCATTAATTAGTAATGAAGTTACTTTTGTTACTGGAATCAGCGCTAGTTATATTTATGCATATTTATGCCAAATGACCAATTATTTTGACCTAGCTTACTTCACTTGGTTGTAGAAGCCACATTTTAATTGTCATGCTCAGCCTACCTTATCAGCAAGCTAATGAAAATACTGTTATTACTGTGGCATTTTTTTCATAAAGTCAATTAAAAATGTTTACCTCACAGCTTAAGAACATTTAATCATTTTATTTTTGTCCTAAAAAAACATTCCATATAAACATTTTTAGTCTTCACTTTACATGTGTGCAGTAGTATAAGCAGGCACTTTTTTTTTCTTTTTTTTAGCTTTCTTAGTTATTAAGTTAGCTAAGAAACAGTTACACCTTTATTCCCTTATGCATAAATCTCAACAACCACATCACAATAAGGCCATAGCTGAATTTAACAAGACGCTTGTGTAATCTTAAAAACCTCTTTAACTTCAGACACCAAACCTTCTTATTTTTTTTATTTCTAATAGGTTACAGTATGTGAGTCTCGTGTCAGTCTTCTCTGCCCTGCTAATAAGAGAAAAAGAGAGACTCCTACCATTTGCACAAAGCCTCAGCAGCACACACATGTCTTGAAGCATGAGAGGGTATGAGAAGACTTTGCTCCAGGGCAGGGACTCTTAACGCGCCCTTGTATTCTGTCAGTGCATGAAGGAGTGTTGGAGAGGGAAGAAAACCTCTACAGGTATCTCAAAATGTGTATATGCTTGTGACATGGGGGTAGATTTATGTGTACGTACATATGAACATTGGTTTTGGTGACCCTAAAGGGCAGAAAAGCACAAGAATGAGTTTGTATACTACTAATAATACAGCAGAGTCCCTTATGCAGTGTGTAAATATGGATACACTGGAAATGCACTCTGGCTCTGGCTTCATGCATTTTTCACTCAGTTGGAGGACGGCATAGAGAGGGACTAAAGAAAAAGAAGAGGTGAAATGTGGAAAATAGGAGAGGAGGAAACAAAGGATACGGCCAAGACAGAAAGTACAAGAGGGAGAAAAAAAGATTTGGGGGAACTATAAGAAGGAAGCAGAGGAGGATGAGACGTTTGAAAAAAAAGCCGGAAAGAAGAAAAAGAAATGAAAAGAGAAACGAGGAAGAGGAGGAGAGAGTAAGAAAATACAATGAGACTGGATCAAAGAAAGTAGAAGAAAGTGTAGATTCAGAGTAAAGGGAGGGGAAATAGAGAAGGAACAAAAAGGAGAGAATGAAGCAGAAGAGAACAGGAGGAAAGCAGAGACAGACTGAAAAGGAATGTTTTTGTATAAAGGTAGGACTACTACAAGGAGAGAATAAAGATGAAGGGGTCGGTTGTGGACAAAAGAAAAGAAAAGAGATACGGAAAAGGGTGACGTTTAAAAAGAGAGAGAATAAAATAAAAATAACAAAGATAAAAAAAACAAAGACTCATGAGTACTGGAAGTAGGAAAAAATGAAAAAGGAAGAAAAAAGGAAACAAAAGAGGAAGAGGACATGTCGCGCAAACAAGCAGACACAAGGGTGTGCTCTCCCTCTTTCTATGCTTTTTTTCTGACTACACACACACACACACACACGTGCGCACACACACACACACACACACACACACACACACACACACACACACACACACACACACACACACACACACACACACACACACACACACACACACACACACACACACACACACACACACACACACACACACACACACACAGGCACGCTGATTGCTCATGCCAGAATTTCAAAGGTCCTCTCATGTCTTACACGAGCATGTCAACACACAAACCCACAACTTCACCCTTTTTTCTGAGCACACACAAACAGACTCACACTTAGCCTTTCTGTCATTTGTCAACCCCCCCCCCCCCCCCCCCCCATGAGCTCAGGGAAAAAAAAAACACTCTTTAGCTTTAAGGAAACAAATTAATTCACATGCCGGGGATCAACTCTCTGACTGGGAGCGAGCAGAAAGTCTCTGACTGTGCTGCTCTTCTCCCCAGAGCATTTCACCAGAACTTGTTTTGAGAAGCACAACTTTAATATTGCATCTAATGAATCCCTGTGAAACAAACACGATGCCTTAGCAAATGTGTAACAGTGCAGGAGCAGAGAAACAGTGTGACGTGTCTCCTCTCTAAACTTCCACACACTGTCTGGTAACAGGACTGGCATTTTGTTTGTCGATGTGTTCTCTCGGCTCTGCATTCGCTGAGTTTTTAATATTCGCCGTGCACTCTGAAGTCAGGGAGAACTGGTAGGAAAACACAATAAGATTCTCAATCGATACCTTTTGTTATAAGCTCAAACACTTTGAACATCAGCAGGTGTGAACTGAACAGGACATGAGGAGAATATTACAGCAAAAATCCCAGCAGGTTGTCAGGCAATGAGGCTCATTGAAACGTAACTACTCCAGCAGTTATCCTGGTGCAGTTTGAGTCTGACTCTGTGAACTGAACAAGGACTCAACAAAAATAATGTGTTTGCACAAAGTGAATACATTATCTGCTACAGTTAGAAACCTCAGAGAATTTCAAAAACCCTGCAGGGATGGCAAAATGGAAATCAAACCTGAAGTAAAGAAAGACCTGAAAATCCACACAGCAGGAGCTTGATTTAACTTCCAAGTTTTGCAGATGAAAAGCAATGTGACACACTTTTAAGTTGCAGTAGCCTCAAAATCTAAAGGCTTAAATGTTTGTTAAAAAAATAAAAATAAAAATCCCTCACCTCTAGTACAGAACGGCCCATCGTACGCGGTGTCAGTGCAGTCACACAAGTAGCCGTTGTATTTCTCCACACACTTTCCTCCGTTTTGGCAGTACATCCCAAAACTGGTGCAATGGCCTTGGCAGCCAGGCTTGACCCCAGGCGTGACCTCGGCCCTCTCTTCCAGGTCCAGGGTGATGCCGTTCATCCGTAGGTCGCGAATACATCCCAGGAAGCCCCGCTGTCCCCCTGCAGCACCTGAGGAGGACGGGAGAATGGGAAGTGGCATCAGTGATATGTAAAGTATCAGGAGGAAGGAACAAAAATAAATAGAGAAAGACAAAGAGATGTCAGGGTCAAAAAAGCCATTTGCCATTTTGAATACAATTCTTTCAAATGTATTCCAAAGCCTGGAGGAAACCACCAATGTCATGTCACACACACATACACACACACATACACACACACAAACACACACACACCTGACTTGAATGAGTCAGTAAAGGCATCAATGCTTAGCCTTGGGGTGTCGATAGTCGTTCCGCTAATGTGCTACCATCTTCATTCTGGCCTTGCTCCATTACTGTCTAACTAAGCATTACCTTGGACAGAGGAGGGGAGTTAAATAGATTAATCTGAGCCCAAATGACTATAACATTAAACACACTCATAAACATACACCCACAGGTATAGATTTAGACAAACTCACAGAGGACGCTTGTAATGTATGGATAAACACACAAGCATGGACACACACTCATACACACCATCATTAAAAAGAGCTGAGGGACAGTTTAGTTATTAAAAAACATCTCATCTGCATCCTGTTGATTATGGAGAAGTGTGCACGCAGAGGGACATGTGAAGGAGACTTAAACATGAGTTGTATTAAACACATCAGCTGGCTGAGTCACACAGGTACAACACAGACATATGAAGAATACAACTTAAACTTTTAATTTTTCATGCCAGTAAACTATTCATGCATCAGGATGCAGGTTTGCTTTCGAACACTTTCTCCACTTCTCCTTCCCACAGCGGATTTGACTTTTAGTACACCTTGTTAATTAATCAATTTTGTTCCTCTGATTGGCTGGAGGTTTGTGCCACCTGTTTACACAGGTCTAAATCAGTGTCTGATTAAATGTACAGCAGGCTCCAAGGCCCGCAGGGACATTATACCTTCATTTCTCTAAATTCAGGCAAATCTGTTATGTTCTACGTTTTAATCTAGTTGCCTTTGCTTTGTAAAGTTTGAACCTTTTTTTTTTACCACAGCTTACCACAAACATTTTTTTCTAATTTTTTTTTTTTTTTTACTCTTTTCTATTATGATTTATCTTTTTGCTGCAACATATCTGACATCTGAAATCTTGTCAAACAGGCTCCTGTTATGTGATTATTTGTTAAATGTTTTGAATGATTTCTTTATCTGAGTATCAGCCTGAAAAATCCAAACTTGGCTGTGCTACAAAGTGTGCAAACACATAAAGTACAGTACAAACACGTGTTCACACAAACACATCATGGCACGACTTTACAGAATAACTGACATGGAAACAAAACTTCAGACACACTTTAATGAAAAATGAAACTCTTGCTGCATGTGTTGGCAGCTATTTATTTATAGATGCTCTCTGTGAAGCTTTTAATGATGTGCTAATGAAGATGCATTCTATACTCATTAGGATATATACAGTACACACTTGCATATTAATAAAAAATATGCAAAGGCCTAATTAAAAGAAAGGTGACATTCTGACCTTCACTGTGTGTGTGTGTGTGTGTGTGTGTGTGTGTGTGTGTGTGTGTGTGTGTCTGCATGTTAACATTTGGATCCTACATTAGTGATTAATGAATAAAAATGTGTGTGCACTTATATACTTTGCTGTGTTAAGGGAACAGGGTGAAGTTTGCATGGAGTGTCTTTGAAGCCTGATCTAACCGTGCAGATAAATTCTACATTTGAGCTGCAGGACTGCTGCACTGCTTTTCCTCCATTATCACTGTATAAGAGGATTATTAAAGTGGTGGTATGTCCTATCTCTCTCTGTTTCTCTGTTTGAAGTTGAACACCAAAGTGATCTCCAGAACAGTGTTTACCCACTCCATGTTTATTACTGCAGGATGCTGATGGTGTTGGTTTAAGATGACCATGTTTGATTCATATAGTCTAAATGCCATTTCAAAAGCCTTCCTCACCCCGCAGCAATTCCAGTAGAGAGATATTATCATATAAATCCCATTTTACCAGCCCAGTGCTTTACATATGATAGTTTACAGCTATATGTGTTTTCAACTATCTCTCTTACAGCTCCATAATGGGCTTGCTTTGAGGGATCCATGCATGGAAATGTAACTGAACTGCACTAAGGCAGAGTCTACAGTTGTAGAGGATTTATAGGACAACATTAGAAGAGGGGATGGCTTAATAACTCCAACATGATACTTTTTTTTAAAATTATACAGTTATAGACAACAAAGTAAGCGAGTCTCAAAAGGGTTATAGATTTAACATGTGCAGGTGCTGACAATGTGGAGTTTTTGGCAGGAACTGAAAAGTGTTGTTTGGGGTGTGATGATGCATTTTTAAGTGTGGCCTTTTTGAGTCCCCGATGTGTGGCATGTGCAATGTCTTTTTTCCATTTATCTATTTTTTTCCCCATTTCTGATTTCCAATAGGCTTGCACATCAAGGTAAATTATCCTCCCACACAACTGAAGACATGTAAAACAAAGGCATATGAACATAATATTCAACGGTCTGCCTTGGATAGTTTATTTGTAGGAGACTTGTAATTGATATTTTTGATTGAATTTACTCTCCCTCATGCATTAACACCTTCAGTAATAAGTGTCCAAAGAGCACCTACCATTACAAACACCCAGCATTGTTTCTATTCCTTTGTCTTATTGAAGTGTATGTGTCTTTGTGTAAACTGTGAAAACAGAATTTTTCCTTTATGCCTTTATTAATAACAAAGATATCTCATTGTACTCATTAAATGTTACCTACTGTCTTGGCAGGTGAGCGAGGCCGGCTTCCCTGTGACAGGTGTCACACACATGCAGTGAGATGTAACAGGCAAAATGTTGATCCATGAAGAAAGAAGCAAAATATTAAAAAAAAAGGAAAATAAAGACAAAGAAATCCAACCATGAGAGAGTAAAGCAAAAACATGCAAAATCATGACAAAGTGGGATAGTGCCCATTAATCAAGACTGAACTCAAAAGAGCAGAAGGAGGCAATAAATAAATAAAAAAGTGATAGTTATGTGCATGCATAAATTTAATGATAGAACTAAAAGTTAACAGTGTGAGGTTAAATGACAGCAGGCTGATGGTATAACGTTTACTCACAGGGCCATTAGAGCAAATGAGCCACTGTGCAGTAAACAATGAAGCAATCAGATGTGAGAAAGAGAGACGGAGATGATGCAGAGACGGATATGAGAACAAGGAGCAGCCAAATAAAGCTCTCTGTTGTACTGCCCTGCTATATGTTTATTTAAAATCCTAAACAGATAATTTATATCAACATCAGAATTCTGTACTGGTTTGTTTCTTGTATATCATAAGACATGGAAGATTATGTGACAAAGAAGAATCAAGGAAGAGTGATCAAATCTGGATTACTGCAAGGATCGGTAGGATTAAATTAGATTCTGGATCACAGAGGGGGCCAAATTAAAATCCCTTTCCTTTACATAACTCTCCCTGGATGTTGACTTCTTGAGAGTCAATCTGTTATTTCTCCAAAAAACGAGGATTAGGATAGGATAAGAGGTCAGATATGAGAAGTTTCTGTCACCTCTGTGGTTGGAACATTCAAGTTTTTCCTCTTTATCTTCCACTATCTCCTGTGATGGCTCAGTACAAAGAAGAAAGGGACGAATTATTAAAAGCTAAGGGAAACAAGTGGATAGATCTTCTGAAGTTTGGACTTCTGATGAGCTTTTGAGGCATTTTTGGTGAGAGAAGAGGACGCTTAGGACAAACCATTCCTCTTAAATTAGACTTAAGTATAATAAGTGTGATAATACGTGATAGATGATACAGAATGTGTGTGTGGGAAAGGGAAAGTCAAAGGTCTGATATCCTCCTTTGCATTGATACTTTTTTAATCCAAATAATTAGAAATGTAATCGAGTAATAAAGCATCAAAGAAATGCTCTCTATGAATGAACTAAGTTCTCTAAAGCCACTCGCCCTCACGTTCCGCAAAGAGGCTTCAACTTCATTAAAGTGTGTGTGTGTGTTTTTTTGTGTGTGTGTGTGTTTGTGCGTGTGCAGGTGTGTGTGCAGGATTTACAATAAATTAATTAGCTAGACCCGGCTTAAGCCTCTTAAGAGAGAGCCCAGTGATTTCCAGTGTGCAGCAACATCTTGTAACTTTAAAAACAATCAGTTTGTCTCTGTGAGGGTCTCTCCTACATACAGCTGATATTTAATGTTCAATGTGCAATCTGATGTGTGTAAGTGTTTTTTTTTTTATATAAGCATTGTGTGTGCATGTATTCGTCTTACCCACGTAGAGCTGGCTGAACAGCTCTAGCCGTGTGTGTCCCTGTGCAGGAGCGAGCTGGGACGCACGGTACGTCTGATCCAGCTGAAGGACCGCCTCTTTTACGTTTCGCTCGGCCATCACGCGATGCCACTGGTCGTCATTGAGGGGCGTGGCCGAGTTGACCGTTAGCTCTACAGGTCCGTTCCCAACATCAAAGGAGAAGGAAACGACTTCTGGAGCTGAGGAAGGACAGTAAGAAAAAGTTATCAAAGTCATGAATCACACATAAAGAAACAATGAGTTAAAATGTTTTAAACTCATATAACTCTCCGTTTCATTATAGTTCACTGTGCAGGTAAATATGCACTCTTTCTCAAATTAAATCAAATGTGTCTCTCTTCTTAATTAGGTAATATTGTGTAAGTGCAGTATGAAAATGATATATTCTGTGTTCTGACATATATTGGCAGCAGTGTGCTGCAGTCATAAAGATGATAAATAACCACTACAAAGCTCTGTGTGGTACTGCGTCATTATGGCTTCATTAGGATCTGATATTAGAGTGGATTATATTAGGCAGTGGTCAATGGGGAAATTAACTTTCTTCTTCTTTCCGCATTCCAATCAATAGGACCCGCCCTTTCCTTTTTTATGTTGATCTAATCTTATTATCCTTTTTTAATCCCTTTTGCTAACTTGTGCTCCTGCAGCTCATATATTTTCCATTGTTTCTTCTACTGTCCATTCCTTCATTTTTTCCTTTCACTGTGTTTCTTGTGTTCTCTTGTTGGCTTGTTCCTTTCCCTCCTTAAGTCTACACTTCCCTGCGTTTTACTCCCTCTATTGTTTGTTCATTGCCTCTTTATTTACTGCTGCCTTTCAGAATTTCACTTACCAATCCCCCTTCAAGCTTATCAGTCACTTTGCCCTCCCTCCTCCTCACCTCCATTATTCATTCCTTCTTTGCTCTTATCGTTTTCTCCCTTCATTGCAGACTTTAACATGACCACTTCAATGAGATGGAAAAAAAGACCCAGAAAATCATCTCCACAAATTCCCGTCATTGATTGATGAGTGCATTGACCAATAACCTCAACCTTAAAAAGTTCTGTAACATTCAACTACCCAGAATGTATAGCATCATAAAGACAAATAGATGCAAGCACACGCACAGTGAGCCTCAGAGTGTAAGCCCTCTGACATGCTTTAGTACACTGATTTAATGATGTCTGGATGCAAAGAGCAGGTCTGCTGGGCAGGGAGGAGAAAACGCACTTATTCTAAATGATTTAAGAAAGCCAAACATACATCACAAAACACAAACAGAAACAAAAGCTAAAGCAACTTGTGTGTGTTAGTTGATATTTTTGTTGTTTTAGCAGCGCTGTAAAGCAGGATTGATGCACTACAAAGTAACTATTTGTCAGAAGGCTTAAAACCCGCCTCAGCTCCAGTTCTTTTCCTGTGACTAGCCTGACTGAAAGTTAGTTGGAGACAGCATTTCCAGCATGGGGACGCCTCCAAAGCCCTCATCAGTAACCAATTGTGACGTCACTCAGGCTTTGTCTATGTTTATTTACAATCTATTTTTTGTCCCCATCCACAGGCAGGAATGAAAACTGAAGTGCCCTTGCAGCTAGTCTTATTTATTTGCATAGCTGTGATAGATGCTGGAAGTGCTAATGTGTGTGAGTTATTTATTGTTTGCACGTTTCCATTTTTTAACCATTTGTTTTTCTGTTAATCTTTTGATGTGAAAGCTGAAAAAGCCAAGATCTAAATTATACCAGAGTACAACCAAGCAATGACAAATGGTGAAGGAGATTGTGTATTATGTGTGTTTGTGTGAATGATTGCTGTGAGTCTGGAGGGATATGTGTGTGTGTGTGTGAGTTTGTCTAATGTGAAGTTTCAGATTCATTGGGTGTATTTTCAGCCACATGTAGCAAGAAGCTTCAATAAAGTTTGTTTCCCAGAAGAGGTCAGTAAAATAAACCAATCTGTGAGTCACTGTCTGACGTTATAAATCCAGACTCGACTGCCTGGTTTACCAACATTCTTGGAAGGCTTGATAATTCAGGTTACATGTAACCAATGCAAATAAATAAACTGCAATGCCAACGTATGCAATGCTTTTGGTCTTTGTCTCATTTCAGACATTTATTTTCTCTCAAGACAGTCTGAACAATTCTTAGTCCTATCTGGTTGCTATGTACATAATAGAAATCACTTTAATTAGTCAGAAATACAACTTTTAAAACCCAGAGCTGCAGAGATTTCTGCTCAACTTCAGCTGTAAAATGTGCATTGGTTTGGTTTTAAACAAAAAAAAGGCCAAAATATATAGTATCTTAAAAGCCAAGGTCTTAAAGTGGGAAAGGAAATTTCTCTACTGGATCCCCACTGTGCTACAGAGCACCACCGAACTCGAGCATTTATAACAAGGAACTCTCTGTCTGTCCTCAATCCAGTCACCAGCCAAGTTCCCATGCTTCTGAATACATCTTCAGTGCTGCCTCTCAAATGTGTCCATGCCTTCTTCTTTAATAGTCCTCCTGTCCTCCTGAGACTGCTGAGGTCCCAGTAATGTGCGTTTTCCACAAGGTCATGTGTTTGTGTATAACGAACTGCGTGTGTTTGTGCTTTGAGCTCCTGCAACAGCACAGCTATGCTATTCCAGCCTAATGCTAGTCATTTCATGGCCTGACTGGATTGCAGCAGATCATTTTTTGCACCGGCGAGAGGGCAGGGATTATGTGTGTGTGTTTAACTGTGACACGTGTGAGTGTGTGTTTATGTGGTTTACGAGGCGTTATGTAATTGTGTGTCCAAATGTGTTCTGTGGGGCAAAATGCAGAGTGATAAAAAGGTGATGTAGGGGCATTTTGCAATCCTGAGGAAACACACGCACACACACACTTATAAATATATGGAAAAAAAATGCACAAACACACAAATGCATTTCCTATCTTCTCAGGCCTGCTGTGCAGCCTGGACAGACAATATACTTAGTGTATCTTTGATTAAAAGTTTGGAAATACCAACACCCTTTTGGCAAACTTCTCACTTCACTTGAATGTGCAGTGTCAGCACATTTTCTTTTGTGTAAGAATACATTTGGGCCTGTATGGATGTGTATTTAACTTTTTTTTTTTTATGGAAGAACTGGAACAGAAAATGAAAAGCTTATAGAACTTTTACTCCACAAAGCAGCTGACACACTGCCAGTCAGTATGGTGGCTTTAAAATGCACTTTGGCAAAAAAAAAAAAAAAAAATTCCATCTCCTCATCGGGATTTTGACACAAAGCGGCAGGCACACTGGCAGGAAATCGTTAAAAAAAAAAAACCCAACCTTTCTCACTTCGCTCAAACACCTTTGAATAAAAAAGTAATTCATGTACCAACAGCTGTGCAGTGCCGGGAAGCTTCACAATGCAGCGCAGCGGTTCAATAGTTGCCCGAGATTTTTGCATTCCTGATCAGAACCGCTCAATGGTGCTCAACCAGTGCTGAATGGTTTTTACTTGAAACAGGATCACCCTAACCTACAATATGGCATGTCAATCATAACCCTGACAAAAGACTTGGAGAATGTGAATGGTGTCCCATTGTTTACATTTAAACGTTTCTTTCTCCTCTTTTCTTTAGCCATCTCTTCCACTTTAGTTCTGACGTTTCTCAATGTGCAGGTAGTGAACATTGATTTACCTTTTCACCGACTGTGTGTGTGTGTGTGTGTGTGTGTGTGTGTGTGTGAGTGTGTGGATTCTTTGAGAGGTAGTAAAAAAAAGAAAAGGTTGTACTCTGAGGAGATATAAATCCTATTTCTATGAGCTTGAATGTTTTAAAAAACAAACAAAAAGGGAGCTAAAGAGAGAGAGAGAGAGAGTTGTGTGTGTAGGCGTGTGTGTGTGTGTGTGTGTGAGAAAGCTTGGGCTTGTGATTTGTCATCCCTGAAAATGGGAGATTTGGTTCAACAGAGGATTATAATGGACATAATTATGGCACACACCAATTACCTTAAACAAATGATTGCGCTCACTTGCAATCAAACAAAGTATGGTGCGTCATAATCATGATGGCAATTGACTGGCTGTGCTTTCGGTTGTTCTGAGAGAGTGTGTGTGTGTGTGTGTGTGTGTGTGTGTGTGTGAAAAAGGTTGCACTGTTGGATTGACTTCTGAATTTAAAGCTTAACTGTGCTAGACAAAGGACAAAATAGGGAAGTTTGACACATTCACACACGCGCACATACACGCTTCTTACATTTGAGCTCCAAGCGGATGAAGTCAGTGTTGCCCAGGTTCTCCAGGAAGACTCCGTAGGGTGCGTTGGTCTTAAAATAGAAGGAGATGTCAGCGCTGGTCTCACCCTGGAAGGTGGCAAAGTGCAGGTAGGATGACGGGGTGGTGAAGGAGGCAGCGTTCCAGTAGTTATCTGAAAAGAAAAAAAAAAAGATTTAGAGCTCAGATTCATCCTATATGACATTCATCTGCTGACCTCTCCTTTAGCAATTTGGCCAACACATTCAAATCGGATAAGCTACATGACGAATGTATTGTGGGAATAAATTCTGATTCAGATTTCAATTTATTTTGAAAAGCTATTAATCTCTCATTCTACTGTTTTATTTAACTCCTCAGCAGAAATGCATCCAGCACCTCAAACTCTATACTTCAGTGCAGAAGGTTTAATGTCCCTTGTATTTCCCTGAAACTTTAAAATAAAGTTGATCTTATCAGAGAGAAACCACGTCTTACTCAAATTAAGGCCGTTATAAGTGGGGCAGCATGGACTAAAGAATTTTAGGTGACACCTTTTCTGATGACTTTTCTGAAGCTGAACAAGCAGAGGCTTATCAAGACAAAGCATGTTAAATAGCTGCTGATGAATGATCAGACTTTGGTTGATGAAGTGACTCTCTGTTGTCTCCTCTTCTCTCGCTGCCTTGTCTCTGTCTCACTCAGGGAAGATGAAGTGTAGGAGGGTGAGTAAAGGAGAGCAGAGTAAAGGAGAATTCGAGGAAAGAGGTCAGACACAGGTGAGGGGACAGAATGTTGAAGAGGTGATGGAAAAGAGGAGAGTAAAGTCATGCAGAGAGCAGATTACGGGAGGAGGAGCATGTTGAGGGCAGGAGGAAGAGGAGGTAATGGGATGGGAGGTCAACGGGAGATCTGAAAAATCTGTGTGGGCTCTCTGTCATGTCTCTGAGGCTTGTCCTCTGACCCTAAGCCATAACACCTGCTACAAAGAGTGGCTGTATTTAAATGAAATGGGAATTTAGTGTTTAAATTTGGCCCTTTTAGACTGCCATATGGCTTGTCATTGCCACTGTTGCCAAGTGTTTGCTCATTTGAGGGTTAATGTTAGGTGTCTTAATATAATATTACAAACAATACAGTCTATAACAGTTTATTTACATAACATGATTGGGCTCCAGATATACAATGATAAATTAATTATAAAATTGCTGCTAATTTATTTTCATTCAAGCGACAACGTAAGAGACTTACTATTCAACCTTTAGCTACCTGGATAACCCTTCTTAGTTAAAGTGTCTAAGTCTTATTCCATTTTAGGTGGACACACATGTTTGTAAGTGACTGCTGAGGGTATATACACCAGTGTCCATCCATCTGTGTGTGTGTGTGTGTGTCTCCTGGTTCAGTGTGATAACCGCTCCACAATGACAGGAGCTGAGTTACTCCCCATTCCCCTTAGTTTCACATCACCAGGGGCAAGGGCAGCACACACACACACACACACACACACACACACACACACACACACACACACACACACGCACACACACACGCACCACCTGCTGATGCTGCCTTTGTGATTAGTGAGGTTGAAGTTGGAATACTGTTCATTTCTCTGCAGGAGGCACTGCCAATTATTAATCAGGGTTAATTGAGGACGGAACAGGAGGACGCCCACAGAGGCCACAGAAATAGATGATTATGTATTTTACATCCATTTGCATCCTCGCAAGAAGGGGAAAATTCCCACGTAGCTGTGAAACGTATTTTCATAACCATTAACTGATAATCAAATGATTTTTTTGAAGATTGCAGCATTATATCTTATATAATCTTAATATAATATAGTGATGATATTAGATATAAGATATAAACATTTAAGAAGGAGAAGATTTTATGTTTCTGCAATTAGATTTTGCACAATCCAGGTGACTACAGGTCACAATAGATATGTATGCAAATAAACTCAACTAAAATACTCTCACTGGATTTGTAGGACAAAGGTTTCTACATTCGACACACTACACCTGCACTCTTGTGTCTCTTTGTCTGCTATGTGGGAAACACGAGGATGTTGGAGAAGAGGTTACAGGAAAACCTTATTTTTTAAACGTTTTCACTTTTATGCAAGTCTCATTTTCCGTCATATTTTAAAAAAAAAATAAAACTGAATGGGAGTTTGAGGAAAGAGAGTGAAAAGAAGGCTGACAGAGACATCAACAAAAGAAGAAGCATACAAGGATATCGACTCGCAGCCTGGAGGAGAGTGGTGCTTCAGAATGAAGGAGGGGGAACACGTGCGGAAAGAGGGGAGTTGGAGCTTGGAGAGAGAGGATCTATGTTGTGAGGAGGAGTGGAGAACTAAAAACCAAAAACCAAATCATCAAGCTCTGAATGCTCCTGTGCCAGATCCACAGATGCAGCTCATTGGCTCTGTGGCACATCAACACTCCCATATTGAAATGTTTATCAAACAAACGTTACAGAAAGTGATCCATCAAATACATAATTATCTTTACTAACTGACTAAAAGACACCACGAATATTCCATTTTTATGACACAGATTTCCTGACCCCAGTTCAATTAAATGAACAGGCACCTGCAGACCACAGTCACTTATCAGCTGGGTTTCATACAAATTCATTTGCCAACAAGGACAATTTAGACATGTAAATTATTCAGCCTGTCCTTTGTAGTGTTTGATGTACAGCTACTGCTAGTGGCCTGGCTCCAAGTTCAACAATTCTGTTTCAGAGTGAAATATCTCAACAACAATCGGATGTAGTCAATCTTTAACAATAATCCCTCACGCCCTCACTACAGTGTAGCTGCTGGCATGATGTGATATCCAGTTTGAGGGGAAGATGATTCATGTATCTAAGCTTGACCAGATGGGTTATGTGCCAGTACTTGCAGATGGTATGGATGACTGACTGCTCTACAGGTCATTAACAAGGACGATTTCAGGCACATACACCCACACACAAAAGACAAAAAAATAGACGAAAATAAGATAGAATAAACAGAATCAATGTACAGTTAACCGTGGCTGCAGGCAAAAAAAAAAGACCATGTTTAATGCCTGTTGCTTTTTACTAACTCATTCAAATGTGTGTCATGTATGTACAGTGGGATATTTAGGATCTATATATCTTGTTAGCACTTATTTCCCGGTTTGATGTAGCTAACACATGCTGTGCCAACTTATTTAACCTATTAACTCATTTAATTTTATACTAACTTATTTTGCCAGAAACTTGAGGTGTAATGTTGTGGAAAGGCTTTTTTCCTTCAATCAAAGGGCAAAAAGTAATGTCATATAAGAATGAAGAAAGGAGCATCAACCTCTGAAGGGATTTCTCTGACTTGATAAAGGTATGATTCAGATATCAGTGTGCAAAAACACTAGAGCTAACATATCGTTCTGAAAAATTGTTCATCCGTCAAACAACAATCCTATGTCTTCTTTGTTAATATAAAAGTTTGTAACACTTTCTATAAAGGTCACCATATTCCCCATTAACTACCTGCTTATTAGCATGCTAATTAGTGGCATACTGGCTGTTTATTATTCATTAGTAAGCACTTATTTGTACTGTACTCTATATGACCATCTTCTATAGCTAATAGGCCATTAACTAAGAGTTCCACCTTAATAATACCCTTCATTACTGCTTATTGATAGTAAGTTAGATATGCTTTTTATTGTCATTGTATAAAAGAACACAACACAACTTGGCAGCAATCCCCTACAGCAGCATTACAAATCTGGTCACATATATACAAATATATTCGTAGTTACAGTATGTAGAAGTAAGCCAAGTACATAAAGATCATAATTCATGGTTAACAACTTCCTAACTTACTATCAAGGAAGATGTTCATATAGCTCAAAGTCATCTTCATTGTAGAGATAGTTTGTTAATTTGGTCAGTCAATTTGAAAGAAATTCGCTCTTTCTTTCTTCTTCACTCCTACACGCACAGTGGATAATAGAGTAAGACAAAGAGCATATGGCTCTGTAAAGTGACAGAAGGATCCATCTTCAGTAATTGTATCTGCCATACTGCAGCGTGATAGAGCCACACACACACATATACAGATGTGAAGTCATGGGTCATTACGTAGTGATTTGTTTGTATGGTGGCAGCTCTTTGATGAGGGAACATTAGTGAGAATGGCACCAGATTGCTGATGAAGTGACCATATCGAGTGTGACACCAGTGAGAAATGCGAGGCAGGTGTTCTGTCATGCTATGCGCCTTTGACAGAACCAGGCCACTTCCTGTCCCGGACCGATGAACTAGAATTTATTTTTTATTTATATAACCTTTATTTAACCAGGTAAATAACCCATTGAGATCAGGATCTCTTTTCACAAGGGTGACCTGAATGAATGAGGGAGTGTAATGTTTATGATGTGTACCAGGACTTTGCAAACTAAATGGTACTCTTTGCTGTATTCCTACACTCACAGTCCATGGAGATTGCATACCCCCAATCAATAACCCCCCCTTTACTATGAAAAATGAGCTGTCGATAGATAATATATAAAGCATTATTATGATAATGATTATGCTGCCTGGCGCTAAAGATTAAATCCATAATGCTTTACCTAACAAACAAATAGAGAGGATGAGGAAGGTAGATGAAAAAAAACAAAACTAGAAAAAAAACTAAATCACTCAACAGAGAAATTCACACAGCAGCTCTGTTCTTTTTCCTCTCATTTAGGAAGTCAGAATCCGATTGATGTTGCTTTCACATCTCTTTTAAATCATTTGTTCAAGACTTTAAAAGACATGATGCATTGATACGTTTTACTGTAGTGAAGTCTTTTTGGTGTTTAGGTCACAATCAGGAGAGCTCAGAGAACATTCAAAGAAAGCCCAAGGCACTTTAAGTAAGCAGCCTCTTGGCTCTTGGGGGGCCTCCAGGGAGCAATTAAGGCCAAGAGCACACTCCAGACTAACCATGAAGACAAAAGAAACAATTAAGCCACAGTTAAAAGGATGTAGTTCTGGGACTGGCGGAGAGTTGTCAGCCTGGTGAACATGGACTGTATACGTAATGGAAGTAGCCACTGTGACTCAATCCATTAAAGAGTTGAATTTTTTTAAAGCCTGGAGTGTGGCATTTTGGCAGTTGCCATGTTGTTTTCTGGAAGAAGTGTAGTGACCATATTTGGAAGAGAGGACTATACTGGTGGGTAGTTAGTGGAAAATGCCAAGTTATCAAAGCCAAACACTCAACGTCCAAGGCTTGGAAATTAGATGACGTTAGCTACTTAACCAACATAGCCGGAAGGCCTCTCACTCAACTTTGGTGGGAGGGCAATTGGCAGATGATTGACACCAACCAGGTCATTTTATATAACCAGCCTACTCGTCATAACAGCTTTCCATCTTGTCTGCAAAAAAAGACAAGTACAATCCTGACTCCTTTGCACTGGCAGCTGCAATTAAATATTTTTAGGACAAATGTTGAGCAGGCTATCAAGCCAGTACATGTAAACGCAGACAAGAATACTTTCTTATTTGTGCTAAAATATATTTTAAAAAACCTTGAATTCCTCTTACCGAAAATGCTTCAGCACTGATTGGTTCAAGGATTGCTAAGTATAATGATAAACCCCAAAACAAGTCATGTCATTATTCCAACAAAAAATGATCGGCATAAGAAAGCAAAAACTCAAGCATGACCAAGGGGTCAAGTCCAGGGACCAGATTAGGTGAGGGGATGTCATTCAGGCAGCTAGCAGCACCCACATGTCACTAAAAGAAGCTATGCCCTGAGCGCTGGTTTAGCTCAGTTGGTAGAGCATGCGCTCCATGTACAGAGGCTACAGTCCTTGTTGCACTGGTCACTGGTTTAACTTCTGGTCAGCAACCGTTTGGTGCATGTCATCCCCAAATCTCTCTTCCCCATATTTCCTTTCAATGTTTAGCTGTCCTATCCAATAAAGACAAAAGGACCAAAATAATATCTGAAAAATAGGAGCTATATTCAACCCAAGACTAGAGGGGTTGAAAAAAAAGATTGACTTGCTTGTAGGGCAAGCTTCAAGTGGTGAAAAATGCAAATCTTAAAATTGCCTTGCCAACACACCCTGGTATGCATCAAAGCTGGTGTGAGTGTTTTAGTCCTGCAGCTACTGGATTTCCCCTTGCATGAAACTATTCCCAAAGTTTGCACGGCTTTACATGTTTTCAATTATGAGTTTGTGTGAAAGCCCACTCAATCTCAGAAAATGAGAAATGGACGAAGAATGAGATGCAATCAATTAAAGCCGACCTGACAGCAACACAGTTTACTCTGCTGGACTGACACTCTGCAGGACTGACTCACTGCAGGACTGACACACTGCAGGACTGACACACTGCAGGACTGACACACTGCAGGACTGACAGGACTGACACACTGCAGGACTGACACACTGCAGGACTGACAGGACTGACACTCTGCTGGACTGACACACTGCAGGACTGACACACTGCAGGACTGACACACTGCAGGACTGACACTCTGCAGGACTGACAGGACTGACACTCTGCTGGACTGACACACTGCAGGACTGACACACTGCAGGACTGACACTCTGCTGGACTGACACTCTGCTGGACTGACACTCTGCTGGACTGACACTCTGCAGGACTGACACTCTGCAGGACTGACACTCTGCTGGACTGACACTCTGCAGGACTGACAGGACTGACACTCTGCAGGACTGACAGGACTGACACTCTGCAGGACTGACACTCTGCAGGACTGACACTCTGCTGGACTGACACTCTGCAGGACTGACACTCTGCTGGACTGACACTCTGCAGGACTGACACTCTGCAGGACTGACACTCTGCTGGACTGACACTCTGCAGGACTGACACACTCTGCTGGACTGACACTCTGCAGGACTGACACTCTGCAGGACTGACACTCTGCAGGACTGACAGGACTGACACTCTGCTGGACTGACACTCTGCTGGACTGACAGGACTGACACTCTGCTGGACTGACACTCTGCTGGACTGACACTCTGCAGGACTGACACTCTGCAGGACTGACACTCTGCTGGACTGACACACTGCAGGACTGACAGGACTGACACTCTGCTGGACTGACAGGACTGACACACTGCTGGACTGACACTCTGCAGGACTGACACTCTGCAGGACTGACACTCTGCAGGACTGACACTCTGCAGGACTGACACACTGCTGGACTGACACACTGCACTGACACTCTGACTGAAACTCTGCAGGACTGACACACTGCACTGACACTCTGACTGAAACTCTGCAGGACTGACACACTGCTGGACTGACACTCTGCAGGACTGACACTCTGCAGGACTGACACTCTGCTGGACTGACACTCTGCAGGACTGACACACTGCTGGACTGACACTCTGCAGGACTGACACACTGCTGGACTGACACTCTGCAGGACTGACACTCTGCTGGACTGACACTCTGCAGGACTGACACTCTGCAGGACTGACACTCTGCAGGACTGACACACTGCTGGACTGACACACTGCACTGACACTCTGACTGAAACTCTGCAGGACTGACACTCTGCAGGACTGAAACTCTGCAGGACTGACATCTTGCAGTTAGGTTCAGGACAGAGTGTTCAAGAGTCAAAGTAAAGTGATTAAAATGAAAGATTTCCACAGAGAACAGAGTACCAAGACTGATTAGAATAATAGACAGAAAGAGAAGCAGCCAGGATTAAAGTGCCCTCGGTGTGTATGTGTGTGTCGCTGCAGTATCTGATGTTCAGTTGCATTTAGTCTGAAAAGAGTTCAGATACTTTAATCTGGCAACACACGTTAGCATTGACGTTGGCCTACAGATCCAAAAGAAACTATAGCGTCAAGACGTTAAAAGTAAAGTAAGAATAGGACGGAATGGGAATAGGACTCCTGACTCGGTGGGTGGGTATGGGGTTAACAGGGTTGGGCGGGAGAAGGCAGGAATGGGGTTTACAAAAGATGACCACAGTACAATGTCAACTCTTATGCCAACTGTATGTTTTCTCATCATCTGTGCAAGCTAATGAAACGATTTTAAAAAAGAAAAAAAATCCAGTTTCTTGCAATGTTCCTGACTGGCATGCCAACACTTGTTATACTTTATTCAGAATGCAGAATCCTCACAGCTCATTTATTCAGTCTTAATTACATTTTGGAAAGATTCCAGTCTGGTTTTAGGCTGCTGCCCTGCATGAAAGAGACTGTTCTCCAGAGGGTCACAAATGAACTTTTTTGGACCAAAGTTAAAGGGAAAGCAGTCTTACCTTTAAAAAAATCTTTGTGTTCAGTTGTCCATACAGTGATGCTTGACCTGCTCTGGCAACATGTTGGCATTTACGACACAACACTGCCATGGTTCAACAGATATCATATAGGTCCGATTACCTTTATTATTACAACACCGTACAGCCTAGTGACCTTTATTGTAAGCACCGTCTCATTTTCTCTATTAATTCTTCCACTGTCTGAGGGGAACTGTCACACCCTATAAACCCAGCTGCTTTAACACTGTGCTCAAGTTACATGATTTGCCCTTTTTTTGTTCCCTTTCTTTTTTTTTACAACTTCACATCAACTAAAACAAACCTCTGATGAGCAGTTCATAAAGGTTAAGCATTCGGTGCCTCTACGACCGGCTGAGACCTTTTTGGAAAATTAAACAACCTCTCTCTCAGCTGCTGACTGGAGAAAGTCATTAATGCACAGATTTCCTGTCAATTAAACCAGCGGTCCATTTTCTGCAGTGAAATGTCCCTTTCACAACCTGTGGCTTGATTTCCATGCGCAGGCTCCCTGTAAGCCCAGTGTGGTTAAGCTCCTGGCTCATGACTGATCTTTTGACTAGCTTTTCATTAGAGCACACCACAGCCTCCTCCTGTGTGTCCCACAGTCTGGACTTCATAGAGTAAAACGTACTTAATCGTGTTAACACTGTAATCAAATTTGGCTTCAGTGCAAGTAGTAAGTTATATTCCTTTTTCCGTTTATGAAGCTCTAGCGTGAGTTCAGTAAGGAAGACTATATAACCGCCTTCACGATCGGGTCTTTCTCGTTCATCTTTTTTTGCACGCTTACTCTCGTTTCCGTTGTCATTCTTGAGCTGTCATTTTCTGGGGGCTGTCACTGGATAATCAGCTGTCTCGTCAGCGGTACTCATCTAACCAATGGCATGGTGTTCCGCCCTTATTTTCAACCTATCATAGTACTGCTCCCCTTTTAAATATGATTCTTTCTCTCCCTTAGTCCCTTCATGCTGATGTTTCGTGCGCCCCTCCATCTCCCCAACACCGCCATCTCGCAGAATCATCATCCATTATTTCTCATCAAGTCATCAACTTCACCACCACCAGTGTCTGGACTCCATAGGGGGGGATCTATTCTGCCGTTGCTAAGAATTATCATTCTTCACATCACCCACCCCAAAATTATTTCCGTCAAGGAACATTTCCATATTTCATTGTAATAAATCATTTTCTTTATTCAGTTGTCTCTCCTGATTGAACTACATTTGTAAAGTTTTTCCTGTTCAGTGGTAAACATCAGTAAATACTTATTATTATCAGGACATCTTTTTTCAATAAACATAGCGCTTGTCTTGAATTGCTTTATGTTTGTCTCTGATTCAATCATTCATTTTTCACATATTTTTCACAGATTTAACATCCTCTTCATTTGATATCCGTCCACAAACCAACTTTAACCATTCTGGATTCTGACATATTCGCCAATTTCCCATCACTCAAAATAACTAATAATTAACTCATCACTTACTGTCTCCTTGGCAACGGAGTGGTCCAACGGTCAGCTTGGCCTCAGAGCCTGGCCTGTTAGTGTCGCCCACGGCAACCTGGCTGACTGGCAGGTGTTCTTTATGAATCAGGAGACCAGAATCTTCTCTCCTGTAAGACAAGTCAAAAGAAACATGCACATGTGATCATATGGCTACACTATTTAACCAATGTATGCAATAAAAGGATAAAATAATATAATAGATTGACAGTAGATCGAAGATACAATATTTACCTAACCACGGTAAAAATAACTCTATAAAATTGGCTTAAAATGTGTTTTTTTTTTTTTATGACTGAAGGTGGATATGACTTTGAACTTATTGTCTATGCCTTGTCTAAAGTGAATTACAATTGAAAAACATTGACTACTGGAACATCAAAAGATAGATATTGAAGCAGTTGATTTTTGTAGCTGAGAAAATGGATCTTTGAGTAAGAACTTAACTTCCAGTAAGGTTGCTTCTTATCATGAAACTGTAGTAATACTGTAACATGAGGCAGATTCTACTGATAATATCCTCATAAGTTTATGGATTGAGGTACATTAACAAAATCTATAAAGGAGAAATAAGTAAGATATTTACTGAATGAAATCATAAAATGTCCTTCTACTACTACAGCATCAGACATTAAGGAAATATGTTGAAGTGCTGGACCACAATGACAACAATGCAGCAGGCAGTATGTCCTCCTCATACATTTAGATCCCCGTCTGGAATGGTCTTTATTTTTTTTATTTTATTTGAAAAGCGACAGTGTATATTAATCAACATTCAGACAGATGTAAATGTACCCGAATTGGCCAAAAGGCTAATTTTCATCAGGCAGATGTTATTTGGCATCATAGAATTAAATGTAACCTATCAACATATGTTCATTAGTAAAGGAACAATATAAGACAAAAAGAACAACAACAACAAACACAGATATATACAATACAACTTGAGTGACGAGAACGAATAATCTCCAACATAGGACATGATACAGTTAAAGTTACCAAGAGTAGGTGCAGCATCAGTGTTGACATTGTTGGTTCTCAATAAGCCATATTTTAACATTATATTTAAATGAATGATAGGATGTTAACTCTCGATTTGATCTGCCCACAGACGGGAGGCGGTTTTTTCGGCACCCCCATATGGCCGTTTTGGACCCTCTTGGTTTACCAGATATGAGACCATTTATCATGGCAAATCAACAGGTGTTGCAGTGATTAAAGCGGGCAAGCGAACTGGTTCAGAGCCGATAATATCTGAAAATATATGATATTATCCTGAAAGTTTCTTATACACCAAATTATATCTGCAGATAATCTGAATATCTGAATAATACACTAACAATATTGAAAATTCTCTCTTACCATTGTTTGTGGTCGGCGTCACAGTTGCAGTCGTACTTTTGGTCAGTGCAGTTTCTGTCGATGCCACAGGCACATTTCTGGATGCCGGGTGCAGAGCCCCCCCAGTAGAAGTGCTTCTCGCTGCCACGACCCACCCACCACGTGTAAGGAGTCCCATCTGTGGAGAAAACACAAACAACTGGATATTGAGTTTGTTTCATTGAAAGACCTGGGACCTGCACAAATCAACAATAGCTTTTTCTTATTTGGCCTCACCTCGCCTGCTCTCTTATTACATATTCTGCAAAAGAAAACAGATTCTGTAGGAGTGAGTTTTGGTATCAGAAGTGTTTTTGACCGATGTAGTATGAGGAGTATTGTCTGAAAACTTTTCAGGGGACAATAAAAACTGTCAGAATGCAAAAAAGCCAGAATGCAATCCTGGAACCCTCTGGAGTACAACTTATAATCAGACATTGTCCTTTACAAGCTTCTTGATGCATATGTTGTTCTTGTAAAAAAAAATCATTGTCGCTTATATTTATTTTCAAGAAGTGACAATTTTAGCCTGAGTCTTTTATCTCCAACCCTTGCAGTTGAAATGTTTTACTTGGGAGCATATGAAAAGTTATGAAACACATCCTCCTGATCCTTTAGTAGTTTTCACCATGTCTTTTAAATAAAACAAGCATTTCCATGATCTATCAGTCTCTATTGTAGGACGTAAGTGACTTTTTGACACAGGTCTCAGATGTGTAACCTATGTTCAGTGCCCCTCATAGAAAGAGTATGCAGAAGAAAAATGAAGAAGAAAAACAGAAACCTTTGTTCAGGTTTTAAAGTTGAGTTACTAAACATTCCAAGCTCAGTCCCATTGCAGGCGATTAATTGTTAAATGATTGCCTTTTTTTATGGCTTTTGTCACATTAATGTGATTTATATTGACAGCAGGCAGCTGCACGGTGAATGAAATCCATTTACGCCACATGTTTTAAACAGCTGGATGGTAAAAGCCTTTGAGACTGGCAGACACACAGATTCACACAGATCACACCTGTGATATTAGAGATCTACTCAAACACACCCAGAGCTGCATTTACATTTATCTTCTGCATAATAATGAGTTAATCTCTTTTTATTTCAGTGTTTGTTAAATGCAACAGATGTGCAGAACAAAACACCTCTTTGTGTGCATGTGTGCCTTTGATTGTTTGTGTTTTAATGACAGATTATGAGGCGAAGGATCACCGCTGTTGAATGTGAAATGTAACATTATTTACTCTGCATTCGACAATGTATTCTGGCTCAAGACAGTAACAAGGTGGAGAGATAGGTGGACATATTTTGGTGCCTGGAAATGAATCACAAAGACAGCCACAGAGGATGAAACAATATTACGTTTCCCTCTTTATTCTGGGAAAATAAGCGGCATTGTCAACATCGCTTTGTCAAATTCCATCAAACAATGAAATCTCATGAGCCAGATTGCGTCTCAGCAGGGGATTGAAGAAGACTTTGATTGAGCACAACTGCATCAAGAAGTGTGATATATTGTATTATTATATTTTTATTCTTTGAAACTTGTGTGTGTATGTGGGTGTGTGTGGGTGTGTGTGTGTGTAAAAAAAGAGAGATATGGTAGAGTTATGGTTGGATTAAGTTTGTAATGAATAATGTTGTGTTTTGTTGGGTATGAAGCCTCTTCTTTGCTCCCAGAGGGGATTTTATTTCAGTAAGTTGCTTCATGTCCATTAAAAGCACTCATACCCAATTCAACACAAGTGCACAGGATTATTTATGTGTTATTTAGGTTGCTTTTCTTAGAGGAAAAGCACCCAACAGGTATCACAACAAAAACTTGCACACACTAATTCACAACAATCTCAAGGGCTCTGGACAATGACAATCAGAGTTTCCCAGGCACACATTCATTTTCAAACGTTGGAAGTTTTTGTGCAAAGTTGTGTAACAGAGCGCTGTTTGTGTGTGTTCTTTGTTGTCATCGTTTGTTTGCTATTTTTGTTAGCTATGCAGAGAGCCCTGGTGTCGCCCCTCTGCACCCATTGCTCCTTTGTTAGCCTTCTATCCTCTTAGTATTTCTATTTTTGTGAGGAGACTGTTAGGAAGCACAATAGCCGTGGCCTGGGATCTCTATAGAGAGCTACAAATAATGCAGTGTGTGTTTTTGTGTGTGTGGTAATAGGAAAAAAGAATATGTGTTCCTCTTTCTATTGTCTTGTCCTTGTGTTTATCTCTGTGAACGTATGTGTGTGTGTGTGTGTGTGTGTGTGTAGTCTCTTCTTTGCTCTTTTTAATCTGTCTGTGTCTCTCCCTTGCTCCCCTGTCTCTTCCTATTGTCTCAATCTTCCTCCTTTCCTGGACCACCTATCCATCAATTTACTCCAAGAACCCCTCCCTACCACCGTTTTCTCTGTCTCTACGGCCCTCCCATATTTAGGCCCCCCTCTCTACTTTCACCTTTTCCTTGCCGTCTCTCGGTCTCAGAGGTCCCTTTCTCTTTATCTCTCCCCCTATTATCTCTCTCTACCTTCTGTTTTTGCACTCCTGGATCTTTTGCTCTACCAGCCTTTTCCCCTCCCTTCTCTCATATGCCTTGCAGACTTTTCCCCTTCACTCTTTTATCAGTTGGTCTCAACACACACACACACACACACACACACTCTGTTTCTCCATCTCAATGCTCTATATCTATCCATCTACCCCATGTGTCCAAGACTCTTTCCTGGCACCAAATCTCTTTATGTTCTCATTAGCCCCACTATAAGCTACCCTTTAATCCTTGCTAATTGCAAACCACTCTTGTCCTGATCCGGATCTAAATTTGTCTTTGAAACACATCCCACCCTGCCTGTCTCTGTCATGATTTGATCTGCAACGGCCTACACTGCATACCAAAATATCAAATGCCTGTAAGCTATAAGTCTCTGTAATTCTTTACCCTTGGTTGAGTAAAAGTGTGTGAAGTGAGTTTATCATTTTTGTTACAAGGAAAGCATTTTTTCCTGGGGAGTTTTTGACCACTAGTAGTGCTGTGGAGCAATATTGAAAAAATTGGGACTTTGGGACAGGCATGTACTGAAAATTAAAGGTGAAAATGTCAAATTCTCCAAATCAATCTGGACATTTTTCCTGAAATCAACCTAGAGTTATGTTTAAAATTGAAAAATTCCTGCTATTTACTTAAATTGCTCGTGTTATGTTTATGTTGATATTGGGGCTACATCCTTACACATCTTGTAATGATATTAAAGCTCCTCGGAGGAGTTTTTAGGTGGTTATGAAACACGCTGAGTCAGCATAAACATTGACTATTTTTAACCATTATTTTCAATGTATGAAATGTACTGTGGTCAGTAGTAAGAGTAAGAGTCGGTCAGTTATTAACAGCACACTACTGTACTGGCTGTTTCACTTTTTTTCCACAGCAAAGATGTGTATCAGTGATACATTTGACTGTAAAATAAAGCAGAATGAGATTTACACTTATAAAGGACAAAATCATCAAAGTGAATAGGAGGTGCTGATTTGTCCACAAGGGTGCCAAAATAGACATAAACCTTCACAGGAGCTTTAACTTGGAAGCAGTCCTCCTCCTGCACACACTACCAAGGTGAAGCCAAATGGGGTAAGGTACAGCCAATATTAGTGTAAACACAACTTACACATACAATCTTGTCATGCAGGGAAGTAAGTCATAGATTCATTATTCTGCATGTTCATTTCTATTTTGCATTGCAAGCAACCCATTAATCATGACAAGCTTAAAACTGTCTTGCTGTGCGAGTATCCCTAATGAATCAACTCTATCCGAAATCAAAATAAGATAAATAAATGCATCTGTAAGCACAAACAAATCCTTTAAACCTCAGTTTAGAAGTTGTATTAGAGAGGAGCGATGCAGGAATGAGTTCACTGTAGCCTGCAGTGCATACAATGTCAGGATGAGAAAGGATAATGAGTTATTTCAACTATTTCTACCTGAGAGCACCCATAATGTGATCCACCTCCCTGACAGCTAACCCCCCCCCACTCTTCTTTAGTGAATTCTTGTTACATACTTCTGCACCCATATACCACTCTTCACAGGTCATCACCGAGTGTATCCAGCTATTAAATGAAAACTCCTCAGAAAGAGGGGAGAGAGGGAGAAAATTAATATCAATGGTTGAGCCCCTAATTGGCTTGTCTGTTTGATAAAGGACACAGTAACCCGACTTTGCTGAAATTACCCTCCATCCCCTACTTTTAAGTATGCAATAGAGCGGGCATGTATGTGCACACACAAGCATAAGCACAAACTAAAGATAATACTTGAAAACACACACGCACACACAAGCCTAAAACCCATAAACAACCATTATCATCTTAATGCAGGGTAATCTCAATCAGTGTGTGTATGTCTGTGTGTTTATGACCATAAGTCAGATTTAATGCCCTGTTCCCTCCTGGTCAAGGACAATGGACGGTTGTGTCATGAGGAAAATGGCTTCTGACAAGATATGCTCATTTTTCACTCTGCTTTTTCACTCACACCATCCATCTCACTGCATAACTGTCGGACTCGTCATATGGATGAGGATACAGTGAACAACACTCATAATTGCAGAGGAGGAGGAGGAGCAGGACATAAACAACTCCTACGAGGTCAAAGAGGAAGAGAAAGGGGAAATCAGGGAGGCTGGTACACAGACAAATATAAAAAGAAATCTGGCAAAAAAATAGAAAGAACTGTCAGAAACAGGAGAAAGAAAAGAAAGGAAGGAATCAAAAGTTCAAGAAATAACAAGACAGGAGGAAGAGACGAGGGACAGGTCATGACAGAGATGTTTGAAAGTGGGAGGGAAATCAGAATTACAGGGGGCGATCAAGCTGGCAAGTCATCTGTTTGTAAACTGAGAACGCTTCATAATAACATAAAGCCATGCATGTGCTGTATTAGGACGTTATGTACAAGAGGTAACCATGCTTAGGCCTGGTTTGCCCTGGAGCAGTGTAAGCGCAGGCTGTGCAGGCCAGCAGGGGAATGGGAAATCTTTGCTAGTGTGAGCGTGCCCTTAGTGACAAGAGAACTGTAGCAGTCGTTTATATTTCACAGCCAAGATGTAAAGATTAATTCCGTTGTTAAGGATTAAATGTCTCCACCTATGGTTGACTTCA